AATAGCCCAGCAGAGGGATATATGTTCCCTACATCTCTGACAGAGGCAAGTAAGGAAGCCATTTCTGGAGACCTCACCACTGATTAGGAAAACTGAGTTTCTTACTCCACAACACTGAGCCTCTGAACTCTGACCAGGCCTCTAATTTGGTCCTTGCTCCCTCCTGATTCTTAAAATCTGCCATATGGGGTGCATTTACCCCGTCATACTAATACTACATGTTTCTGAACACTCTTTTCCTCTGGATATTACTGTAGTTTTTTTTAATTTTTTATTTATTTATGATAGTCACACAGAGAGAGAGAGAGGGGCAGAGACATAGGCAGAGGGAGAAGCAGGCTCCAGGCACCGGGAGCCCGACGTGGGATTCGATCCCGGGTCTCCAGGATCGCGCCCTGGGCCAAAGGCAGGCGCCAAACCTCTGCGCCACCCAGGGATCCCATTACTGTAGTTTTTTTAGGTGTACCCTGCTTCCAGTGTAACAGATAAATAACCTTATTTTAGTTTCCAAAGACCATCACTTTCTCAGTAGTATAGCCCCCACCATAGCAGTTTTTCCATTCTTTTATTAAGTCCCACCAAATCCTATTTTCTCCCTCATAATCTTTCTCCATGGTGCTCTCTCTGGACAGAGACAAGGTGAGTTGAATCTACTATTAGGAATATATGGCATGTCAAAACGTGCTTTTAAATGGTTCTCTAAGTCTGAAGAAAATTATACTAGCCAATTATCTGGTTATCCACGTCCCAGCCTCTCTCCGAAACAGATGAACAAGAGGTCTTTTTCTTTTCCTAAAAATACACATATACATGGGTATACATTTGTTAATCAGATGGCAATAGCTAATATTTATTATGGATGTATTTTATCCTCTTGATAAAGGGCTTTGCATCTATGATTGAGACTATTAATGCTATCCCCATTTTATAATTGAGAAACTGATGCATAGAGAGAAGTACATTGACAAAGGTCACATAGTTTATAAGTAGAAGTGCTGGGATCCAAAGAAGGTAGTCGGGCCTTAGGGCTTCCACACCCCCAGGCTACCCTGCCTCCTGCAGGAGACTTCTCCAAGGAGCAGGCTGAGGAGTTCCCATTATCCTGGGCTTCTCTCAGAAATGGATTCCTGCACAGTGCTCAAAGTAGATTTCCTCCAAGGATGATGTCCTATTTGAAGAACTTAAAAATCCAGGATCTTTTCCTTTTTCTAAGAGTTAAGAAAGCTTAAGTGATAGGTCTTTTCTTAAAAATCAGATTATTCATTTAGTTTTTGATGATTCATGAAAGTCTTTACTGTTATGATTGTTGGGTCTACTGATCTTTTAGCTAAATTTGCTTCAAGAAAGCAAAACTCTGGGTCCTGCTAAGTTCTGGATCCTAGCCTTTGGATTACTGCTCTTGTTCTGTGGAAGGTATTATCATCTGTATCTGCTTTAAATAAAGTTATATCCAGGGGCACCTGGGTGGCTGAGTCAGTTAAGTGTCTGACTCTGGATTTGGGTTCAGGTCATGATCTCTGGGTCCTGGGATGGAGCCCTGCATGGGGTTCCAAGCTCAATGTGGAGTCTGCTTGTCCATCTCCCTCTGCCCCTCTCCCCACGCTCTCAAGCACGTGTGCTCAATCTCTCAAATAAATAAATCAATAGTATCTTAAAAATTAATAAAGTTTTATCCATATTAGGAACATATTTTCTGTGTTCCTCTCCTGCTCCTCTTTTCTCTTCCCTTAGGATGAGATTCTGGGAGTTCTCTACAACACCAGCAGTGTAGAGGTATATCATGTGCTGCACAGATGTCTGCAGCTGATTTTGTGTGTAGCTATTTGCTAAATAACATCACAGCAAAATGGAACAGGACTGACTTCACTGTTGCCACTTTGGGTGGTGGAAATCACATGTATTGTTTCTTCTTAACACAGAGGTTATTACAAAGATAAAAGTAGGCTACCAGCTTCATCTCTTCTCTCCTAGGGAAAGCGGATGTCATACCCTATCAAACCACTCTTGCCCCCTCTTTGCTCCTACAGTTTCTTTTTCACCTTTCCAGCATCAGTGTTGGATTACCCAGATGCTTCACTGGGTACCAGCAAATCAGGACACCTTCTCTCCAAAGGAACAAAGGAATTGAAGCTGGTATTAAGAGGGGCGCCCTGGGTGGCTCAGTAGGTTAAGCATCTGCCCTTGGCTCAGATCATGATCCCAGAGACCAAGGATCGAGCCCTGCATCAGGCTCCCTGCTCAGCAGACAGCCTGCTTCTCCCTCTTCTCTGCTGCTCCCGTGCTTGTATGTGCTCTCTCTCTGTCAAATAAAGAAATAAAATCTTTAAAAAAAAAAAAAAGAGAGAAAATAGTATTAAGATATTTGATGTTTTCTGAAGACAGAAAGCTTCTGCACCCAATTCCCATGTGTGGGCCTCCATACATCCAAGCACTTCTCTAACATCGGTTGGGTGTCCTATACTTCAACTCAATTCTGACACTACCAGGCCAGGTTACCACCCTGGCCACACAGAGCCTTGCAAAGATCTATCCTATCACTCAGAAGCTTCATTCACTTGAAATATGGATTGAAAGAGAGTGTAAAAACCATTTCGTTTAAATGTCTTATTTCATAGAGGAGAAAACTCAGTTTTACTTCCTGGGAAAACAACAGACAGTGTAAGATCTATTACATTTATAGCACATTAAAATGTGGCCTTAGTGGCACCTTTGACTTCTCCCCATCCTGTTTCCTGCATATCCATCATCACCAGCCCTGCCTCTCTTTCACTTCAACTCTCACTGTCTACCTGGCATGTCCATAGTTCTCTCACCAGAATGAATAAAATACCCTCTAAAGACTCTGTCTCCACCCCCCTCTCCTCATGTCACTTCAACCAGCCTTTTGAAAAACAATGGCTCTGGGGTGCCTGGGTGGCACAGTAGGGTAAGCATCAGACTCTCGGTTTCGGTTTCAGCCCAGGTTGTGATCTCAGGGTCGTGAGATTGAGCCCTGCGTCAGTCTCTGTGCTGGGCATGGAGTGTGCTTCAGATTCTCTCTCCCTCTCCCTCTGTTCCTCCCACTCATGCTCTTTCTCTCTCTAAAATAAATCAATGAATCTTAAAAATATATTTTTAAAAAAACAAAAACAATAGCTCTGATCTCATTATTCCTCTGAAATACACCTTTAGTAACTCCCCAATGCCTAGAGCAAACTTGATCTTGGGTCAGAATCACTGGAGGTGTCAATAAAACACTGATTGCTAAGACCCCCCCCAAGAGTTTCTAACCCTATAGATGTGATATTGGGCCCCTGAATTTGCATTTCTGATAAGTTCCAGGTGATTCTGTTGCTGCTGGTCAGGGCATCACATTTTGAGGACCACTGGCCTAGAACATAGAGTTCAGATGCCACAGCATGGCCGTCAGGGATTTCTCATTGTTTTGCTTACCTCATGCCCCTTCCTCTCTCCCAAGCCCCCACTCCCCACTCCCAAGCCCCCACTCACAGCAGACTATCAGCTTTTCCAAGCCACGATCTATACTTTGCTTCTTCTGGCCTTTGCTCTGTTCTCTCTGGAATGCCCCTCTGCGTCATTCTCCACTTAGAAATGTCCTACTCTTCATTCCAAGTCTCACCCAAATGCCACTACTGTGGAAACTTTCCTTCAATCTTGTCTTAAAATTATGAATCCTTTATTTGCTTGTGCTCCTAATATTTCGTACATATCTTTTTAAAATGCAGATGTGATATCAAAATCCACTGCCTGGGGTGCATCAGCTCCATTCTGTGCCCTGATGGCGGGCTGAGTTCAGCAACGCAAAGTACCAGCAAGAGACAGGAAGGTAGGAGGACTCAGTGGGAACTGATTTGGGAAACGTGCTTCCCTTGCTGAGTCCAGAACGCAGCCAGGGCTCCCAGGCAGGGCTCTCTCCTGTAGGTGTATGGCTCTTACCAGTTTTGGAGCTGCCGCCTCCACCCCTCCCGCCAATCTAGTAGTCTTCAAGTTTTAGCAAGCACCTTTAGGCCACATAATTGATTAAACCTTTCTTTGCGCATCTATCATGCGTTGCTTCCTAGAAAGAGGTAGAACCAAACCCTCTTGTACAACCTCCCCCCCCCCCGACGGGGTGGTGCAGGGGGGGGACCAATACACAACCTCTCTGCACCCAGCACAGTAATAAAAAAATATCACACCTGTAGCTGGCACCATTTAAATCTCCATGAAATTAAGTGTTGCAGACCACTGTGCTCCCCCTTTTTGCTGATTAACTGCTTTTTAAATTGATTTTCTTTAAAAAGAAATATTTAAGCTGGTTTTTAGATAGGAGTCTGCTTTTTCCCCAGGTGGCTGGCCCCTTTGATAAAGCTCATACTCCTTTCCACCCCAAACCCTTCCCTTGAGGATTGGCCATTCTAGCAAAGGACAGCTGGACTTGCCTTGGGGTAACATGTTCAGTCCGCACCTACCCGGGTCCCTCCAGGCCGGATGGTAAGGGCGAGGGGAGGGGAGGTGAGGAGAGGGGAGGGGAGGGGAGGGGAGGGAAGGGAAGGGGAAGTGAAGGGAGGGGAGGGAAGGGGAGGGAAGGGGAGGGGGAGGCTGCTTTGCCATTTCTCACTGATTTCCCTTAACCCTTTGCCTCCACCCAGAAAGATAATTCTTCTACTAAGCCCTCTTCAATTACCCATGGTGCGTACACAGGTTGCCCCAAAACTCCTTTTCAAAAGGAAGTTTTGGTGCCAGGCCGACAGTAGTACCTGTTTTCAATAACGGAAAGAAATCCGAGGAATATTTCTCTTCTATTTGCCTCCTTTAGTCCCCACGATAACCTGAAGCCGCTCAGCACAGATTCCACCGACTGGGGTTACACACCTGAGAACCGCAGAGCCCAGAATTTGGACCTCAAAGTGGTCTGACACGAACATCTGTCCCAAAGGGGTGATACAACCTAGAGGCGGCACCCAGGCAGCTGTGGTTTTCAGAGAAAAGAAAGTGAAAGAAGAGGCCCGGGCCCGGGGGCGGTCGGGCGGCGCGAGCGGAGCAGCCGAGGCAACCGGAGGGCCGCGCCCCGTCCCCGTCCCGGTCCCCGTCCCCGCGCCCCGCGCCCAGACGCCCGCTGCCCCGACCTTCGCGCGCCCACTCGCGGCCGGGAGGCTGCGTGACCCGAGCCCGAGGCCGGCGCGGAGCCGGGGAACCGGGGAGCCGGGGAGCCGGACTGGAGGCGCGCCCACGCCGGGAGGATGGTGAGGGGCGCGCGGGCGGCGGGGCGGGGGCTCTAAGCGCGGGGGAGGGGCGGGGGGGTCGGGGCGGAGGGCGGCGGGGCTCTAAGCCCGGGGGGCGGGGGGCTCCAAGCCCAGGGCCCGCGGGGCTCTAAGCCCGGAGGGCGGGGTCGGGGGGGGGGTCGGGGTCGGGGTGGAGCGCAGCGGGGCTCTAAGCCCCGGGGCGGGCGGAGGGCTCTAAACCCTGGCGGTGGAGATCCAAGCCCGGGGTGGGGGTAGGGGCGGAGCGCAGTAGGGCGCTAAGCCCAGGGCCAGCGGGGCTCTAAGACCGGGGCCGGCGGGGCTCTAAGCCCGGTGTGGAGGGCTCTAAGCCAGGGGCTCTAAACCTGGGGCGACGGGGCTCTAAGCCCGGGGTGCGGGGGGCTCCAAGCCCAGGGCCCGCGGGTCTCTAAGCGCGGGGGGCGGGGTCGGGGGGGTCGGGGGATCGGGGTGGAGCGCGGCGGGGCTCTAAGCCCGGGGGCAGAGGGCTCTAAACCCGGGCAGTGGAGATCCAAGCCCGGGGTGGGGGTAGGGGCGGAGCGCAGTAGGGCGCTAAGCCCGGGGCCAGCGGGGCTCTAAGCCCTGTGTGGAGGTCTCTAAGCCCGGGGCCAGCGGGGCTCTAAGCCCTGTGTGGAGGTCTCTAAGCCCGGGGGCTCTAAACCTGGGGCGGCGGGTCGCCAAGCCCCATAGAGGGGTCGGGGCGGAGCGGGGCGGGGCTCTAAGCCCGGGGGCGGAGGGCTCTAACCCTGTGGTGGCGGCGCTCTAACTCTGTGGTGGCGGGGCTCTAACCCCGGGGCGGCGGGGCTCTAACCCCGGGGCGGTGGGGCTCTAACCCCGGGCGGCACGCAGACCCAGCCCTGCGCCTCTGTCCCTACGAGGCGGCTTCGTACTCCCCGACTTGCCCGGAAGACAGTGCGGTGCGGGGCATCCTTGTCCGGGCAAGTCTTTGGTCTCTTTTCCCTCAATTTTTGAAAGTTCCTTGTAAATCAGGAATCTTAATCTTTTATCTGTGATATATGTTCAGGCTGTTTCCTCTCAATTTGTTTGTCTTCTCAGTTTGCTTATGGTGGCTTCCCACCCCCTCCGCCAACCCCCCCCCCCCGCCCTGTGTGAATGGTTTTTATAGTAAAATCGATCAATTGTTTATTTTACTGTATTGGGGATTTTGGTCATGTTTTAAAAGCTTTCCCCATCACTGAGGTTACAGTCACCCATTTTATTTGTAATGCTTTTTTTTTTTTACTTTTAGATCTTTGATACATGTGGAATTTATTCTTTATGATCTGAGGAATGGATCAAATGTTATGGTTTTTTTTTCCAAATGGTTATCCAGTTGTCCCAACACTATTAAAGAGATTAGCACTGCCTTAGTACTTGAGATACCACCTTTATCATACACGGACTAGATTTTTAGATGTACTTTGTTTCTGGAACAGAGAAGCTATGTTAAATTTTTTAATGTCAGGGCTACTTCCCCTAAGAGCTCTGCCTTCCCACCATTTTCCTAGCTATTCCTGTGTGCTTATCTTTACTTAGGAACTTTAGGGTTGACTTCGAGTTTATGATCTGTGTCCAAAAAAAAGTTCATTGGGATTTGTATTGGATTTGCACTAAACTTATAAATTGCAGACAGCGGACACCTTGACATGGTGTTGAGATACTGTGACCAAGAACAAAGAATGTTGCTTCTTCGTTCAGGTTTTGTGGAATTGTGGCAGTGTCACTAGTTTCACAATTTGGAGGTGAGGTTCACCTGGACCTCCCCACAGCCTGTTTCGAGTCAGGCCTCCTTGTGGAGGACCCACTCTGGGTCCTACTGCAGGGAGAGTGGCCACCTCGCCGAACTCCATCAGTGAAAGAGGCGTGCAATAACCTTCCAAGTACCTACGTGTGTGTGTAACTTATTGGGTGGCCAAATCTGGTAAAGCTGTCAGGATGAACATGTGATTCTTTCTTTTAAATGTTAAAATAAAGATTTTTATAAAGAAAAAGAATAAATAAACACGTTACCGGTCTCCATCTCCTCCTCTTTAAAGAGTGTTTGTAGTTTTCTTACATAGAATAGTTCCAGTTATGTTTGTTTCTAAACATTTTTTTTTGCTATTGTACATGAGGTTTTTCCATTCACTGTGTCTTCCAATCATGTACACTATTTGTGTATATGAGTGCTATGGACTTTCTTTCATTTTAAAAATTAAGGTATAATTTGTATATAGCAAATTCATACTTTTTAGTGTACAGTTCTGTAAGTTTTGACAAATGAATACAATCGTGTAACAACCACAAAATATAAAAGATACAAAGATACGAAGATATAAAAAAGAGTTCCATCACCCCCCAAAATTCCCACCAGTCCTTTTGTAATCAATTTCTTCACTCACAGTGAGTCTCTGTCAAATACTGGTCATATTTTGGTTCCCATAGTTCCAGAATGTCATAGAAATGGAACCATACAGCACATGGTCTTTTGTGCCTTGCTTCTCTCACTTAGCATAATTCCCACCAGCTACATAAGAGAGTTCCTATTGCTCTACATCCCTTGCCTGCATTTGGTATTCTCATTCCACTAGGTGTGTAGTGGTGGCTCATTGTTATTCTAATTTGCATTTCCCTAAAGACTTAAGATGTTGAGCATCTTTTCATATGCTTATTTACCATCTGTATATTTTCTTGGTGAGGTGTCTGTTGAGATCTTTTGCCCACTTTAAAATCAGGTTGTTTTCTTATTGTTGGATTGTAAGAATTCTTTATATTTTCAGATAACAGTTTTGGTGTGTGTGTTTTTTTTTTTTTTAATCAGTTATGTCTTTTCAAATATTTTCTACCAGTCTGTGGAAGACTGCATTTTAAAGTGTAGCATGCTGAAGGGCGTGGGTGGCTCAGTCGATTAAGCATCTGCTTTTGGCTTGGGTCAGATCCCAGGGTCCCAGATCAAACTCCCAGTTCAGTGGGAAGTCTGCTTCTCCCTCTGCCCTTCACTCTGCTCATGCTCTCACTCTCACACACACTCTCTCTCTCTCAAATAAATAAAATATTTTAAAAATAAAAAATTTTGGGGATCCCTGGGTGGCGCAGCGGTTTGGCGCCTGCCTTTGGCCCAGGGCACGATCCTGGAGACCCGGGATCAAATCCCACAACGGGCTCCCAGTGCATGGAGTCTGCTTCTCCCTCTGCCTGTGTCTCTGCCTCTCTCTCTCTCTCTCTCTCTCTCTCTCTCTCTCTCTGTGTGTGTGTGTGAGTGACTATCATAAATAAATTTAAAAAAAATAAATAAATAATTTTATTTATTTATATATATATATAAAATGAAGTATAGCATGCCAAGTCCCTTATCATTTCATTTGGTATTACCTTGTTTTTTAAAATACATTTTGCTTTCATTTTGTCAAATTTTATTTTTTAAAAAGATTTTGTTTATTTATTTGAGAGAGGGAATGAGCGAGGGAGAGAGAGAGAGAGAGAGTGCACATGAGCAGAGAGAGGAAGAAGCAGACTCCCTGCTGAGCAGAGAGCAAGAGGCAGGGCTCTTGCTCCCAGGACTCCCTATCATGACTGAGCCACCAGGCACCCCTCATTTTGTCAAATTTTATAAATTACCGTGTTGGTATCTTAACTGGACTTGAATTAAGAGGCTTTGTGTATCTATAACTTGGAGAGTATTGTCATTTGTAATGTATTTATGCAAAGGCAGAGAATATCAAGACTTTATTTTTGCCACTGATATTTAGTAATTCTCTTAAAGTGATCTCATATGTCCTTATCTACATTTTCTCTAAGAGTTGATTTATTGATTCTTGTTTTTTAATGAGTTTTATTGAGATATAACTTACATGCCATAAAATTCACTCTTTAAAAGGGTACAATTCAGTGCTTTTTTAGTATATTCACATTGTTTACCATTATCTATTTTTATTTTTATTATTTTTTTTAAAGATTTTATTTATTTATTTATTTATTTATTTATTTATTTATTTATTTATTCATGAGAGACACACAGAGAGAGGCAGAGACACAGGCAGAGGGAGAAGCAGGCTCCATGCAGGAAGCCCGATGTGGGACTTGATCCCAGGACTCCAGGATCATGGCCCAGGCCAAAGGCGGCGCTAAACTGCTGAGCCACCAGGGCTGCCCATATTTCTACTTTTTGACTATTATGAATAATGCTGCTGTGAACATTTGTTGTCTCGGTCAAGTGGGCTGCTAGAACAAATACCATAGACTGGGTGACTTAAACAACACTTATTTCTCATAGTCTGGAGGCTGGAGTTGTGAGGTCAGGATGTAAGCATGATAGTGTTCTTGGTGAGGACCCTCTTCCTGATTTGCAGATGACTCCCTCTTGCTATTTTCTCACATGGCAAAAAGAGAGCTCTGGTCTTTTCATCTTCTTATAAGGACACTAATCCTTTCACATAGGTTCCACTTTCATGACCTCATCTAAACCTAATTAGTTCCCGTCTGACCCCATCTCCAGATACCATCAATCACCTAAGGATTAGGACTTGAACACCTGAATTTTGGGGGTACACAAACATTCTGTCTGTAGCATTTGTGAACAATTTTTTTGTGGACATACGTTTCATGTCTCTTGGGTATATTCATATCTGGGTGTAAAACATATGGGTATATGGTAACTCTCACTTTTTGAAAAATTGCAAAACTGTTTTCCTAAGTAGTTGTACCATTTTTATTCCCACCAGCAAGATATGAGGATTCCAATTTCTCCACATCCTTGCCAACACTTGTTATTGTCCAGCCCTTAAAATTTTACTTATTCTAGTAGATGTGAAGTGATATGTCATTGTGATTTTGATTTGCATTTTCTAAATGACTAATGATGTTCAACACTTTATTATGTACTGGCCATGTGTTTATCATCCTTGGAGAGGTGTCTATTCAAATCCTTTGCTTATTTTTAAATTGGATTATTTGCTTTTTTGTTGTTGTTGAGTTGTAAGAGTTCTTTATTTTTTTAAGAGTTCTTTATATATTCTAGATATAAATCCTTTATCAACTATGATTTGCAAATCTTTTCTCCCATTCTATGAGTTGTCTTTTTACCATCTTTTTTTTTCTAAGATTTTATTTATTTCTTTGAGAGAAAGAGAGAGGGAGCATGAGCAGACTGAGGGACAAAGTCAGAGGAAGAAGCAGATGCCCCACTGAGCACGGAGTCCAATGCAGAGTCCATCCCAGTACCCTGGGATCATGACCTGAGCCACAAAGCAGATACCCAACCACCTGAGCCACTGAGGCACCCATGTCTTTTCACTTACTTGATGGTGTTGATGATTTCAAAAAATGTTCACAGTATGTGGGTGTAGTATTTGTAAAGAATGACTTTTCTGGGGCAGCCCGGGTGGCTCAGCGGTTTGGCTCAGCGGTTTAGCCCCGCCTTCAGCCCAGGGTGTGATCCTGGAGACCCGGGATCCTGGAGTCCGGCTCCCTGTATGGAGCCTGCTTCTCCCTCTGCCTGTGTCTCTGCCTCTCTCTCTCTGTGTCTCTCATGAATAAATAAATAAAATCTTAAAAAAATGACTTTTTTGGTATCTTTTCCATTTCTAAATTTATCCTCATTTCTTTTGGCCACCTTATTTTTATGACCCAGAAGAAATTCTGAAAAATATGTGAAATAGAAATTATAATAGAGTACATTTTTAGTTTTTGTTTTTTTTTTTCATTACTTCTAAGGAGAGTGACTGACTTGTTTCTTCACTGTAAATACTATTAACTTCTGAGTTCAGAGTAAGCTTCTTTATCATGCTTAAAGTTCCTTTAGTTTTCTTCCAAGGGTTAAAAACAATGAAAAATTAAAATAATAATCTCTATTTTCCCCATAAATGGCTACCCCATACCCAACCTTCTTTGTGAAAATGCAGCGTTTTTTATTTTGGTTATCTGTAGAATGCCCTTTCATTATATAGTAACAGAAACTTCTGTCTTTTCAGTAATAAGTTGTGGCTCTAGAAATTTATGTCAGTGGATGAGCGTTATCATTTATTGTCATGTTTGTTATTTTTTTCCCTGTGATTTGGTGGGTAAACTTGATTTTACAAAGAATAATGTTTAACTTTATACTATCATTTAGCCAGAATTATGATTTTTTCTCTTTTCTTTCTTTCTTTCTTTCTTTTCTTTCTTTCTTTCTTTTCTTTCTTTCTTTCTTTCTTTCTCTCTCTCTCTCTCTCTTTCTTTCTTTCTTTCTTTTTCTTTCTTCTTTTTCTTTCTTCTATAGGGCAATGAGTTAAATCTCTTTCCTTCCAAAGCATTTGAAACATCAGAAAGTAATATAAAGGCCAAATCTTTTCAGATCTTAAAGCAGATATGAAAACTAACATCTTAAGTATTTCTGTCTCTAAAAATTGCTAAGTTGGAAGACCTCAGTACAAAAGTAATACTTTTCAGAAGAGTGGATCAAATGGATGAATTGGAAGTGGATGAAATAGATGAATTTTCAAAAGACCATTCACAAGCATCCCTTTTGGTTGTATTTCACAATATCCAAGACACCATGACTGAGAATGTACTTTCCTTGCTTGGAGTCAATGACCTGTGACCTGTCAGAAGCCAATGGTGACTTCAGGGTGGAAGTAATGCCCAATACTCAAGTTGCTGTCATGATTTTTCTTGAAAATACTGGTAAGACAGACATTATCTATTAACCTTTCATTTGCAAATTGTGGTTGTATCCTACTTTGAGATTCCAGGCATCCCACAGTGGGTTTTGATTAAAAGTTGTGCTCTCTCAGTAAGACAATTGCCAAGGGATTACATATTATTACTTTCAGTACTACTAATACCTAATATTTATCAAGTGCCTTGCTCTATGCTAAGCACTATGCTAAGCTTTTACTTACTTCATCTCAAGTAGCACTATGAGACAGTACATTATTATCCCTGTTTTACAGATGAAGAAATCTAGGTTTAGAGAAAATTAAATGACTTGGTCACGGTCACACAGCTAGTAATTATTTGAATCAGAATTCCAAATTAGATATTCTTACTTCTGAGTGTATTTTCTTAACCACTGTGAATGTGCCCCCCAAATCTCCTGTGAGCTTAATAGTTATAGGAGTTTATTTTTATGACAATGACATGTCCAAAGAGACTGAGATAAGGTGAAATAAGGTAGGGGGGGAAGAGAGAAATTAGATTTAGAAAACAATATTGTTTTATAATCATCATCATCATTATTATCAGCTTAAAGTGGCTGCACATATCTGATTTCATTTAGAAAGGTAGCTGTTGATCCATGTTCCCAAAATGGTCTTAACTGGAGGCCACCATTAATGAGAGCTGTGTACTCATGCACTCACAGTAAGCCATGTGGGATAGGTTGAAGTTGTCACCGTGAAATTTAAATTTATGTAGAAATATAGTATCTAAATTTTAGTTCTTAGTTATAGCCTCTAAATCAAATTATTTCTAAAATCTGTTTTCTTTTGCTATGAAATGAAATTATAGTACCAATAAACTGATTTTTATTTGTAGATGTCAGGACATCTGTTAACGTTTGTGTTGGACACAGTAGAGTTCAGCAATTTCAGATTTTCCCAAGACTTCTGGAACTGAATGAACCATTAGGGTTGAAAATCTGCTGCCTCATGTGGATAACAGTTACATAACAATTTTTTGAAAACCCCACAAATAGAAGAGAAAGGGTAACCAATGTGCAGCTTTTCCCAGAAGAGAGGTCATCCCTGGTTGAGTTTTCTAACTACAAAGGTAATCAATTTCTTTTCTTTCTTGACCTTTACAGTTATTATTAACCATTTCATGCACAAATGAAGTTAAAGTAGAGACCACACAAGTGATTAGGAAATCCATCAAAGCTACTCATTCTTACTGGAATATACCATGATTTAACTCAAGGCTTTGAACAGGTCTCTGAAGACCCAGCCAAAAGAATAGTTTTTGTGCAGTAACAAAAAAACATACAACAAAACTTCTCTTGATCTTAATTTCTCTGTAGTTACTGGTTCATGTCTTTGTTTACCTTTGCAGGAAAATTTCTCAAAAAATTTGTCATTACTCATCCCCATTTCCTCTCTTCTTACTCTCTTAAATCGATCTGTCTAGAAGAGGCTTTTACCTCCATCATTCCACCAAAATTGCTCTTGTCAAGATCACCAATGGCCTCTATGTTGCTAAACTCACTAACCACTTTTCAATCCTCATTTTACTCGATCTCTTAGTAGCATCTGACAAAGTGTTCAATGTCTCCTTCTAAATGCACTTTCTTCACTTGCTGCTAGGATGCCACACTTTGGTTTTGCTTCTACCTTGGTAGCTGCTCATTCCTATTCTTTCATTTACCTTCTTTTCTTCAACTCTTAATGCAGAGCTCAGTTCTCTTCTCCTTTTTATCTTCACTCAATTCCTTGGAAATCTAGTGGCTTTATATACTATGTATCCTTGCCTCTTAATTCATATCTGCAGTCAAGACTGTCTCATGAACTCCCATGTCTATACTTACTGCCTCCTAGATTTCTTCATCTGATTGTCTAAAAGTATATGACATAAATATAACATGTTCAAGACAAAACTCCCCATCCTCACCCTACACCACCATCTGCATTATCCACAGGCTTTCCCATTTCAGTAGATGGCAATTCCATCCTCCTTGTTGCTCAGTTCAAAACCCGGGAGTCTCTCATATCCCATACCCAGTCCTTTAAGAAACCCTGTTCATTCTACCTTCAAGATGTATTTAGAATCTCATTACTCCTCAAAGAACACAATAAGAATTTAGAAAATTAAATGAACCATTTTAATGGTGGTAACAATCTCCCAAAGAACCTATACCACAAAAACAGTTTATATTTTAGATAATATGACCAAATAAATACCGTTTTTAATGGCCATACTTCACCCGCACATCTCCTCTCCCAACTTTGATCCTTAGGAAGTGTTGATGAAGCCAAAAAGTCTCCCTGAAACTATTGGTGGGGATAGAAGACTGGGGGGAAAATGAATGAAGTCAAGAGAAGAGAGGCAGAAATTAGGATCTTCCTCTTATAGCTTCGAAGGAAACCAGGAAAGCTAGAAATTGAGATGCTCTGGAGAGAAAAGGAGTTCAACTTTCAGTAGTGGTTTAAGAAGCTAATAATAGTCTTAGGACCAGGCTGAAATAATATCTGATTCTTCATACAGCAAGGAATCGATACTACTGGACATTTTTAATTGGTACTTTGTGAGAAGCCAAACATTTGGTAGTAGACTTCTACATTTAAAACTGTATCATTCTTAGGACTCATACCAACCTCCCAAAGCTGCAAAATATCTCTCACTTACTTGTCACCCAGTCTTTAATGCTAGTGTTGACATCTGAAGAGCTATTTTTTAAAAACAGTTTGTTATGGTTATACTCTGGTAAGTAGTTAATGTCTAAGCATACATATTCAGTGTCTCTGGAGATAACATGTGCAGGTTGGGATAGCTAAGAGCCTCAGTCTGCACTCCATCCATTGTGAGCTAAAGGAGCCAGCAGTGGAGGCAGAGTGATATAGAGTACAATGAAACAGTTTACAAACTTTTTTTAAACCACAGTGTACCATAAAAAATATATATTTTATATCTCAACCCATACCTTATATAAAAAACAAAAACATTTGTTGCAGTTTGGAAAAAAAGTTTTGCTACAACACTTATTTCTTGCTAAGGAGCTGATACACTCTATTCTATTTTGGTTTTGTTTGGTTAGGTTTTGAGGGGTTTTTTTTGTTTGTTTTGCTTTTTTGTTTTTAATTTTTTGTTAAGGCCTTAAAAATTTATATTCCTGGCATAGTCATTAGAGGTTGGCTTTCAGCAATGTCTTTGACACAAAGGGTTAGGAAAGAGGGGTTCTAACCTTGTCGCCACTATCTCCACCAGCCTGCCCTTCAAGCCATCCAAAATAAGCATAGAATCTGTTAGTTTTCTATTGCAGCATACCAAATTTAGTATGCTTTACATAGCAAACGTTACTGTCTCATACTTTCTGAAGGCCAGGAATTTGGGGGCAGCCTAATTGGGTGATTCCGGTTGAGGATCTCTCCTGAGGTTACAACCTGTTCACTGGGGCTGCAGTCCTCTGAAGGCTTGATGAGAACTGGAGAGTTTCTTCTAAGTCCACTCACATAACTGCCGCCTCAGTTCCTTGCCTTGAGGGCCTCTCCATATGGGTGTTCACGACTTGGCAGCTGGCTGCCCCCAGACTGAGTTATCTGAGGGGGAGGAGAGGGCTGCAGTGCCTTTTTTGTCTAGCCGCAGAAGTGCCGTGGCATCACTTGTGCCATATTTTGTTGGTCACAGAGACCAACTCTGATACAATATGGAAGGAAACTATTCAAAGATGCGATTACCAGGAGGTAGGGATCATTAGCTGCCCTCTTACTTATACAATCCAAGAAAATGCAGCTTCAAGACAAGTTCCATTTACTCTTTACTTCTAGTCAGATTGTCACACCTAAGCCTTCTATATAGAAATAGAGGACCACTGGCCTTTAGAATCCCGAAGGTATGTGTGTGTGTATATATATATTTTTTTTCTTTAAGATGTTATTTATTTATTTATTTATTTATTTATTTATTTATTTATTTATGACAAAGAGAGAGTAAGTGAGTGAGCAGGGAGGGGGATAGAGAAATAGAGGGAGAGAATGACCTTGAGCAGGCTCCATGCCTAGCATGGAGCCCAATACAGGACTCAATTGCATGACCCTGAGGTCATGACCTGAGCAGAAATTAAGAGTCAAATCCTTAACCGACTGAGCCAGCCAGGCACCCTTCAAAGATATAGATTTAAATCCTCTAATTTACTAGCTGGATAGTGTGGCAATGTTACTTCCTTGTTCCTGTTTCCTCACTTTAAAAAGTGGAGATAAAATCTATCTCACAGGGTCACAGGTGAAGGTTAAATTAAGTAAGATAATATTTGTAAACTGACATATAATGGGTATTCAACAGGTAAAGCTATAATTATCAAAATAGGAAAAAATGGAAAACACAAATTACTAATTTGGTGATAAATACTAGATGTGAATCATGCTTTCCATAGCTATATGTCTCAGCGGCTACAGGGCAAAGTGTTATTATTAAATGGTGTTTGAATAGTTCAGTGTCCTCATTTTGATACTGTTAGGACTTCTGACATAAAAGGATTATAATAAACTATTTCTGCTGGATAACATGCATTTGAAAATAGGCTAGTGAATTTAATTTAGAAAAAAAAATCTCCCCCTGCTCCCCCAAAGCAAAATAGTTGGCTTAGATGTAAAACCAGACCACTAAGGCTTCTTGGCTGCAAACTCAATGTCCCCCAAGTTGATCCATTCCACCTTAGGGCAGTTCTAATCACAAAAAAAAAATTAGCAATGTTTGAAGCCCAAATATGTTTTACTTATCATCTTGTTCTTCCTTATAGAGTTGTAGAAATAAATCCTTTATAAGATAGTCCTTTGGATGTTTAAGGACAACTATTATGTGTAGCTCCCTGCATTCCATCCTACCTATTATCTGGACTTCTGCAAATTATTTTTTTTAAAGATTTTATTTATTTGCTCATGAGAGATAGAGAGAGAGAGAGAGAGAGAGAGAGAGAGAGGCAGAGACACAGGCAGAGGGAGAAGCAGGCTCCATGCAGGGAGTCCGATGTGGGACTTGATCCCGGAACTCCAGGATCACACCCTGGGCCCAAGGCAGGCGCTAAACTGCTGAGCCCCCCGGGGATCCCCTACTTCTGCAAATTAAATAGATTCAGTTCCTTTTATATATCCTCATGTGATGCGGTTTGGAGTCCTTTCACAGCTTCACTTTTCCTCTCCTGAACACCATAGCTCATTTTCATAATCCCTTTGCAAAGTTTTGTACCTTGAACAAAATACAATACCCCAGGCATTGCCCGTTTTCACCAGTGAAAAGTAGAATAGGATTATTATTCATTATGCATATTCTTGTTATCATGTTTTTCTTCTTATAGCCCCAAATCTCATTACTACCTTTTTAAAAATGAATGACTATTTTTAGAGCAGTTTCAGGTTTACAGAACAATTGAGCAGGAAGTAAGGAGAATTCCTTCTACCCACACTTTTCCCTAATACTAACATCTTGCATTAGTGTGGTACCTTTGTTAAAATTGATGAAAAAGTATTGCTACATTAGTAGCATAAAGTCCATTATATTATATTAGAGTTCACTCTGGTTGAATGATTCTCTGGGTTTTGACAACGCATGACGTCATGTGTCCTCAAAGACTGGAATAATTTCAGTGCCCTGAAAATCCCCGGTGCTTCACCGATTTATCCCTCCTTCCTTCCCTCCTCCAAACTGCAGGCAGCCACTGACGTTTTTTACTGTTTCCAGAGTTTTGCCTTTTTCAAAATGCCATGTGGTTGGACTACTAGAACATAGAGCCTTTCAGATGGACTCCTTTGCTTAGTAATAGGCATTTGGTAGCTTGATGACTCATTTCTTTTATCTCTGGATAATATTCTATTTTATGGAGTATCACGTCCATTATTTATCCATTCACTGCTTGAAGGACATCTTGGTTGCTTCCAAATTTTGGCAATTATGAATTAAGCTATATGGCTGCTATAAACACTCATGTGCAGGTTTTGTGTGGACATAAATTTTCGACTCATTTAGGTAAATACCACAAAGCACAGGCGCTGGATCATATAGTAAGAGTATGTTTAGTTTTATAAGAAACTGCCAAAAAAAAAAGGAAAAAAAAACCTGCCGGACTCTCTTCCAAAGTGGCTGTACCATTTTGCATTCCCACCAGCAGTGAATGAGAGTTCCTGTAGCCCCTTCTTCTTCCCAGCATTAGGTGACCTTTATTTTTTTTCTTCTTATATAGCTACATCACTGTTGACTTATACAGAATTTATCATCCATCAAAATTCCTTAGATATTTTTCTATGACTTAGCTACTGTGCCACATACTCTTTCTCTCAAACTTGTGCAGTTACTCTTTGGACCTCCTTGAGTGTCTTTCCTTTCCTTTGATACTTCTCCAGATGTCCCAGGGCCTCTTTTATTTATTAGGTTCACCCATAATCCAACTGCTAAAGTATAGCTGGGAAAGACTCACACTTACAACCTTCTACAGAGGGTTGGTCTTCAGGAGACTAGTAGTCTGGAGACTGGAGGTGCCTGGGAATTTACATTCATCACCCAACCAGGATGACCCGTAGGCAGATAACCGGCTGGTGGGGAGGTACAAAATCCCAGCTCCCCAGCTCAAGGTTGGGACAACACTGTGATGCAATTTATATACTCCAGAGTCCCTTGCAGGATCAGTCAGAAGCCAGCTTTAACCTGAACCCCATTCTCTGTCTTTATCTCTTACTTCCTACGTGTTTCTCCTGAGGGTACAACTTTAGTAATTCAGTTGCACATGAATCCTCATCTCAAGCTCTGCTTCTGGGAATCAGACCTAATTTTATTACTTTTTTTTGGTTACAGCACACAATTGTTCTTAATGTCTTTTACTATTATAACTCTTCCTTTTAAAAAATTGTATTTACTTCTTTTTGTAATTAATTAATTTATTTTGCGTGAGAGAGAGTGCAGGGGGAGGGGCAGAGGGAAAGAATCTCAAGCAGACTCCTGGCTGAATGTTGAGCCTGACTCACGGCTCCATCTCATAAGCCTGAGATCATGACCTGAGCCAAAATCAAGAGTCAGACGCCCAACTGACTGAACTACCCAGACACCCCGATGTTGTATTTACTTTTAACAGTTCGCTTTTAATTGCTCATGCATAACTGTGTGCATTTATTGAATCTTTAAGAGCCAGAGTTTTGTTTTTCTCTTTTTTCCAGAAAAAATATCACCTCTCCAATAATATAATGAATGTTAATGGGAAAATCAGATTAATTGTACAAACCTTCACTGCAAAGTAAGCATTAATGGGATAGATCTATTCTATTAGGTGAGGATTAACTCCATTGCATTCATGAATATCACATCTTTCTTTGAGCTGCCTGACAGTGGTACTATTTTAGGCAGACATTCTACATTTCAGAGTCTCATTAGTTTCAGGACTTCTTTTTATACTAAAGATTTTGTCTGAATCCCTACCTTTTACTTTATTTATTTTAGTGGTGGACACCTACTTGGCCAAAGAGCTTGTCTTCAATGAAAGGCCCATCTCTGTGTTTCCGTATTATGTGACTCTGGGCCTAGCCTTGCACAGAAAGGAGAAGCCCCTGAGAAAGTTGGCTGCACCATTTCTAGTGGCTCTGGATCCTCTCATATGGAAGATCTTGCAGAAGAAGCATCACCTGATTGGAATGATAAATTACAAAAGGGAAAGTGTCACTGTGAGGTAACATGGCCCCAAGTCAGCTGAAAGGAGCTAGAGGTAACATTCAGATCTGTGGCCACTGAACCCAAGGAAAGACAAAGATCAATGTCATCAAGACTTGGAATGGGGACTTTTCTAAAAACTTTTGCCATATAATTTCTAAATATCAAATCACCAAATTGAATGTGAAGCCAACAGCATGGGAAGACATAAAAAACAACATAGATTGTTTTTTATTTTGATTGAGTCTGATATATTCAAGGAGATGATCATAATAACAGGTTGTTTGGAGGATGTGAAAAGAGTACAATTAAAGACACCAACCATAACACTGAAAATGAAAAAACAAAATTTGACAGAGAATGTGGCTGGTTCTTCTAGAAGGTTTTCTGGTCTTTATATCAGTGCTTTGAGAGAGTCTATACTCAAGGATTTCTCAGGATGGGAGGCCATTAATAATGCTTGCACCAAACATACCAGAGTACATGCAGGAGAGTATAGGGTAAAGGACTGCTCAAGGAGCCCATTCCCGGTCCTTCTGGAGTTTTCTATTTGTTATAGAGAGTAGAGTGTGGAAAATTCTCTAAGATTTTTTTTTTAAGATTTTATTTATTTATTCATGAGAGACACAGAGAGTGAGAGAGGCAGAGACACAGGCAGAGGGAGAAGCAGGCCCCATGCAGGAAGCCCGATGCGGAACTTGATCCTGGGTCTCCAGGATCATGCCCTGGGCCGAAGGCAGGCGCTAAACTGCTGAGCCACCCGGGGATCCCTCTAAGACTGTTTTAAGCAAAGAAAATTCATAACCCTTTTGAGTTAGATCAGTCATGGAAAATACATTTCATTTCATGGGTTACTTCTGATCAAATGATAGTTGTTGCCTGGAGCTCTATGTTGAGCAAGGTTCTGAGCCTCTACCTGGATTGACTGAAAAAGAGTGTTGATACCAATTAATGTCTGTCACAGGTGTGGATGATGAGGTATATGGGCAGGGGGAGGTGATGTGCGCCATGTTTTTACCATTGGGTTTAAGTGTGAGAGGACCATCAGGTAGATCAGCTTGTCTTCCTAGATTCTGTGCAGATTCACAGATGGTGCCTTTCTCAGCTGATATTTTGACTTTGAGTAAGTGGTTTTGTCTCTTTGTACTTGGGTTTTGGTTTTGGCTTGGTTTTGGTTTTAAAATTCTTTGGCTGATTAATAGTCAAACTACAAATGCTTTATTGTGGAGAACTGAGGGGTGTGTCTTAGTTTGAGTTTCCCCAGGAGAGTACTTGAGACAGGATTCAAGTGCAAATGATCTAAATAGGGAAGTAAAAGATACTGATAGGGTGTGTTATTAAATCAGTTACCACTTACTCCCACTGGGGAAAGAGTGAGTCCTACCTGGGAGGCAAGGGTGATGGGTGGTTTTACTTATTCCCCTCAGCAGGGTCTACTAATCTAGAATTCTTGGGGGGAATAAGTAAAAAGAGCTCACTGGCATATGGAGTATTAAATACAGTTGGTACTCAAAAATTGTGATAATAAATTATTTGCTTTTGAATCTTAGGGTGGGATTATGAGTTGAGTTAGAGAGGTGTGGAATCTACTAGTTATTTTCTCTTTGGGCACCTGTGAGTAAGGCTCCAGATAGCATTGACTGGTCAATACTTTTACTGTTTTCTCCACAGTCAAGAGACCAAGTCAGCTGGAAAAAATGTCTTTCAAACAGAAATGTGATAGCCTCAACCCAAACCAAAGAAGGTCTAAACCTCATGTTGATAAGTGGAGATGTTATTTATTTCCAGGTAAGTGGTGCTATTTAGTAAATCCGATAAGAAACAGTGGGGTCTAGTTCACTGGTTCTGTGATTTGAGGTCAAAGATTAAGATCCTATAAATTTGAGGAGCTGAACCTACCTGAGGTTCAAGCAGGCTATACTTAACTATCCCCTGTATTCCACATGTTCTCATGTGAAGACATCCAAGTTGACCATAAACCCGGGCGTGGCATCTACCTCTTTTATTTCTCTGTAACTCATCTTGACCTACTTTCAACCCAGTTCTGTTCCAATCAGCATTTATGGGGAGGAGATATGTACATAACTTTGTAATATCACCCTTTACAAAAATACCCCATTGCTCCTGTCTGAGCACTTTCTGAGGCACAGGCAGAATGAGAAAGGAGAAATATTGCCAGAGTGGGTACTAAAAGCTCAGCTTGGCTTTTGCCTGCCTTCACTCCTATTGCATTTCCCCTCGTGGAATCACCAGTTAGCAGGAGATACAGGCCCTGTATTCCATCTAGAGTTAACATCCATGGTACTCGGTCCTGGCTGCACGTCGGAACCATCTGGGAAGCTTTTAAAAATACAAGTGCGGGATCCCTGGGTGGCGCAGCGGTTTGGCGCTTGCCTTTGGCCCAGGGCGCGATCCTGGAGACCCGGGATCGAATCCCACGTCGGGCTCCCGGTGCATGGAGCCAGCTTCTCCCTCTGCCTGGGTCTCTGCCTCTCTCTCTCTCTGTGACTATCATTAAAACACACACACACACACATAAAAATACAGGTGCCCAGGGACACCTGGGTGGCTCAGCGGTTGAGCATCTGCCTTTGGGTCAGGGTGTGGTACTGGGGTCCAGGGATGGAGTCCCACATTGGGCTCCCCACAGGGAGCCTGCTTTTTCCTCTGCTTATGTCTCTGCCTCTCTCTCTCTCTCTCTCTCTCTCTCCTCCTCTCTCCTCCTCTCCCTCCCCCCCCCCCCCCCCCCCGTGTCTCTCATGAATAAATAAAATCTTTAAAAAAAATACAAATGCCCAGACCCCACCCCTAGAAATTTTGATTTTAATTGACCAGGTATGTGGTCTAGGGGGTCAGTAGTTTTTGAAAGAATTCCAGGTGATTCTAATATGCAGCTAAGGCTGAGAATTACTAATTTGGATTCTTCTTCGGAATTCTGTAGTTCCCACCATTTTGACACTTGATGTTTACCTCCAGATGGCATACACTCAAGATCAATGGAAAGAGAATTCTTCTGAGAAATTTATTTATTTATTTTTAATTTATTTATGATAGCTACAGAGAGAGAGAGAGAGGCAGAGACACAGGCAGAGGGAGAAGCAGGCTCCATGCACCGGGAGCCCGACGTGGGATTCGATCCCGGGTCTCCAGGATCGCGCCCTGGGCCAAAGGCAGGCGCCAAACCGCTGCGCCACCCAGGGATCCCTCTTCTGAGAAATTTAGAGACTCATGGCTTATGAGCCACTGGAAATATTATTTGCTGTAGCTGCAGCTAGTGAGATGGCAGGAGGGAGGCAGCCAACCACTTTCTTCATGTTCTTAGAATGGCTAGAATCCTTAAGCTCCTTTGTTACATGGGTTCAGGGCCTAGTTCTCAAATCTTCAAGGTGAAAAGTTGAATCTTCTAGTACTAGCCAGACTTAAACTGGCACTAATCAAACTCAAAAGACTTATTTATGAAATTGGAATTGTAATTCTTTAATTTGCAACAAGGAAGCCAAGTGCCATGGGTACGGGCCATAGAGGGCCCTGTAGCTGCCTATCAGGAGATTGCTTGGTGAGCGAACTCAGACCAGAAAAGAACTGGGTAACATCCAAGTACAGTAAGTTTCTTTGTCACTTTAGGAGTAGACGCAGTGTGGTGGTTACGCAGACCAACTCCAAAGCTCATTCAGCCAGAGTTCAAATCCCACTCTACCACTGACCAGCCATTCACCTTGCTCAACAGCCCCTGTGACTCATCCTTATCTACAACTATGGATGATGATGATATTAGGGTTGTTGTGAGGTTTAAATAAAATAATCCACATAAAACATTTAGCACCTCCCTGGCACATAGTGAAAACTCAAAAAAAAAAAAAAAGGTAGCTATCATTGTTATCCACTTAAAACAGACCACTTCAAATTTTACCCTTCACCCAAGTTGTGTTACAATCTAGTTGAGATAGATTTTCTGTACCCTCATCTTGTAGACGAGGAAACTGAGGTCTTTTTACTACATAGTCTGTTGATTATTAAACTCGTGTCAACCCTGTCAAGGTACCTATTCTCAGGGGCTTCCTGCAGCCTGTAGCATAAAGTCTGAAAAAAAAAGTGTGAGCTTTTGGAGCCTTCCATCACTTGGCCCCAAATTTCTTTCCAGCCCCGTCTCTCACCATTGAGCTAACACACTCCGTTAGCTAAAGTGGGCTGATTTCTGACCTTTCTCAAGTCTTTGTGTTTTCTTAAATATTCACCTACCTAGAATGCTTACTGCCTTCTTTCTCCTTGTCCCAGCTTCATGCCTTATCCTCTTTGTAAAGACTTTACTCACCAGTCCAGCCTAAAGGCTTCCTGCCTTTTAAAAAATTCTATAGCAATTACTAATTGTACTTTTAACACAGTTTCTTTTTATCATCTTGAACTGATTTAAACATTCAGAATATTTCACTGTTTTACATGTTAATATATTACTTCTCCAAACTGTGTAGGAATCAGTAAGCAGAGAGTGGGATGAAAGTGGGCTGGATCTTGGTTTTTTGGCAGGCTCACTGACTTTTGTCCCTGCAGGGAACTTCTCAGGTCCTGAGATTAGTTTATGTTAACTAATCTCCTGTAAGATGGAGACGGACCCATGAGAGTGAGAAATAGAACTGTTATGTGGCCCAAAGACATAGACACCTTTTAATTTACAATGAGGAAGGGCTGCCTAAGGAACCAGGATACTCAAAATTCACATGATCAAAGCATTCTCCTCTCCAAATTTGAATATGAAATCCGAGTAAGTGGAATTGGATGAATTGAATATTTACTATCTATTGGCCTCAAGTCATGACCACATCTCACCAAGAGATGGCCTCGGCAGGCATTGGAGAACTCTTGATACCACTGGACAGGCTTGAATGGACACTGCCTACATTCACCTCAGTGACCTTCCTTTGTCAGGGCCTTCAGGGCTGACCAGATGCCACCCATCCTGCAGATGGACTCATTCTTTCTATAGGGATGTTCATAAAGTCTGAACAATTACTCTCAGTGCCAGCCTAAAAGCAACTTTCTCTCTCTTCCTAGGTCTCTCTCAAAGGTCTGTGTTTTTGTCTCATCTGGCTAACTTTCTTTTTCTGCTTCTACCTTTCATTCTGAATCTCGTTCTTTGCCTGTAGTCTCTGGTTTGCTCATTTTCATAGCCCTAGTCTGAGTCATTACATGTTGGCTTCACAGTAACGGGTGATGTATTTCCTTAATTTCTAAGTTTTGGAGCTCAATTCACTGTGGTATTTAAGTACTAACAACAGATCGGAAGCTCCTTGAGGGTAGGGCTGGCAGGTCAGTATAAAAGACAAAACACATCTTATGCCTTACCCCACAATACTTGGCAAGTCATAATTGGTTAATAATGATTCATTGATTCAATCTCTAACAAATTGTTGCTGTTTTCCTCAAGGCCGATGTCATTGTCAACACCGTTCCCATGAATCTTCAACTTGGAGGCGGAACATTATCTCAGGCTCTTCTGCAGAAAGCTGGCCCAAAGCTCCAGAAAGAGTTATATGCCACCAGGCAGGGAACAGAGGAGGAAGTAGGTAGCATATTCATGACAAGTGGCTGCAATCTGAACTGCAAAGCCGTTCTCCATGTCGTGGCTCCACACTGGGATAATGGAGCAGGGTCTTCTCAGCAGGTAGAGAAAATCCTTAGTTCTCTACTTCATTGGTAGCTTTGGTAATCTTCGGGCACGGTAGAGATCTGTGGTTCTCAAAAAAGGGAATCTATTCCCCAGGGGACATTTGGCTTGTTACCACAGTTACTGATAACTAGGAAGTGGAGACCAGGGATGCTGCTAAGCATCCTTCAAAGCATGCATCAGCCTCCACAACATAGACTTTTCTGGCCAAAGTTGAGAAAGCCTAGTATTGATCAAACTTTGTCTGTTTATTGAAATATTTGTTGCATTCCACGAACAGTCCATGATAGCTACCAGTTATTTCAGAATAATTGACCCTCGGAAATAGTAACAATCCTTGGGGTTCTCCAGGGATGATACCTGAAGATTAGTGTAATAATCTTTCAGTAGAACAAAGAGAGGCACCAGAGCTGTGGTGGAGAATGGGGGTTATCGCTCTTCTTGTGATGACTTCTCACCTCTACTCCCAACTTTCTTTTTTTTTTTTTCAGAATACAGAAATAACACATGGTATATTACAGAGAATACAGAAACTACAAAGACTAAAATAAAAATTATAATCCAGCTGCCTAGAGATAAATTTGGTTAACATTGTATTATATTCTTTCTCTTCAAGTCCACTTTATACGTACTTGTTTCTTAGTTGAGATTCTCTTCCCCTTTTTATTTTTTCCCTTCCCCTTTTTAATCCTTTTTTTTAACTTGATACAAACATCTCCCCAATGTCCATAAACATGGCTTTTGATTGCCACAAGACATCATTGTTTATATAGCCATTCCCATACTATTGGAGCCTCCTTCCTGCATGGGTTGGAATCTCTCTGGAATGTTCTCTCCCCTCTGTTTCCTCTTTCTAACTCTCTCAACCCAGACAATAGCCAACAAAGGCAGAGGAGACCTCAGCCCTAACTTATACAAGTGTATTTTATACATTTCAGATCATGGCAAATATAATCAAGAAATGTTTGACAACTGTAGAGGAGTTCTCTTTTTCATCAATCACATTTCCCATGATTGGAACAGGAAGTTTGAGGTTTCCCAAAGCTATTTTTGCCGAACTAATCCTTTCGGAAGTGTTCAGATTTAGTAGCAGTCTATGGCAGAAAAGCTTACAAGAAGTTCACTTTCTGGTATATCCAGGTGATGACGAAACCTGTCAGGTATGGTGACATGTCTCTTCTAGTCATTCTGGCAAGTGAACCTAAGTGCAACCAGATGTCTTTATAGATCCGTAAATAATAATGTTTTCACTTCTCTGTCCATAAGTATTGATTGCTGTTGAGGGGTTTTACATGATTTTATGAGATGACACTGACGACTGACACAGTCCTTCCTAGACAGTTTAGCCAGAGACAAGGTACTGTGTACTTAATAAATTCTTAGGAAGAAGCAGAAAGTTAGTGGCATAAAAGTGGCCCAGGTATTTTAACACTGAATGAAAGCCAAATCATGGCTTTATTTATAGGGAAAAGACCAGATAAGAGAAACCTCAAGACTTTAGGTGTTGTTTTTTTTAATATAGAATAAAACCAGTCTATCCAAGACTATGAGGGTCTAAAGCTAGAAATAGCAGTACAATATTCAGAGTAGAGAAGCAGCCAAAGTACATGTACTAAGCACTTAACCACTGACATCGCCCTGGTAAAGTGCACCCATTCCTAGAGACACACTCCTTAGCTGTTGGCCCAGTCTGAGTGCCAAAATCTGTTTCTAATTCTTGAAAAGTTATATTGACTTTACATAAATTGTGCATAGTTATAGCAAAACCACAAACAATATAAAAGTACAAAGAAGAAAGGTACAGTTTGGTTTGAATTTCAGTTTTGCCATTTATTTTTTTTAAGATTTTATTTATTTATTTATGAGAGACACACACAGGGAGAGAGGCAGAGACACAGGGAGAGGGAGAAGCAGGCTCCATGCAGCGAGTCCGATGTGGGACTCGATCCCGGGTCTCCAGGATCAGGCCCTGGGCCAAAGGCGGCGCTAAACTGCTGAGCCACCAGGCCTGCCCTCAGTTTTGCCACTTAAAGGTTGAGGGAGGCCATTTCTCTGAATTTCAGTTTTATCACGTGTCAAGTGAATGTGACAAGAACACCCCTCAGAGTTGCTGTGAGACTTCAAAGAGGATGTATTTGAAGTGTTTTTGCATGGTGTCTAGCACATAGCACACCTCAAAACTGGTTGCAGGAGTAGTTATTATTAACTTTTTGTTACCTGGCTTTAAGGGCTATTGCTACAAGGTACTAACATTAGCACTTTAACAAGATATCAACTATAATGTTCTTTCCTAAGTTCTTAGTTACTCTCAGGCATTTGGGATAGAATTGTGGCCTTTCCACGAAATAAACTAAATCAGCCCTGGAGTTCATTGAGAAAATTCCTAGTTTGAACTGCAATCATATAATTAAAAAGTCTCTGGTCAAGAGAGAAATATAGGGAGAACTATTGTTCCTAATATGATGTCTGGTGATCAGTGCTCCAAAGAATTGGATTAATATATTTATAGAACATTGTTATAGTCGGTAACCATATTTCTTTCTATTTCCAGGCATTTTTAGATAAGTTCACTACATGGTCAAGCGTTAATCCCAACGAGGACAAGAATCTCATGGCTGGAGGTAGCCAAGGTCTGGCAAAGTTGTTCTGCTGAGAAAATATTTCCCTCTGTTTAGTGGCTCTTCAGTGGTAGCTGAAGTCCAATAGAAGGAGACAAAGCAAATTCACATGAGGCACAAATCAGTGATGAAGGAGGTGGTGGGGCATGTTCCATTGTCTGAACACACAAAGAATAAATTATATGGATGTAGTGCTGCTGCACCCCAGCAGACTCTAGGGTGGGCCATGGTCTGGTAAGGCCAAAGAAAAGACCCAAAGACACCGATCAAGGTATAGGTTTATTGCGGGAACTTGTACAGGTCCGGGTGGATGAAGCCTCCATTGCCAGGATCCACATGCAGCAATTTTTTATATCATAACAACGTACCCTAGCAGCTGTCCCTGGCCCCTCCCCTCCTTGCATGGCCAGCGTTTCCAAGATCAAGGCCTGCCACAGGGACAGTCTTCATTATAAGAAAGACATACAGGGTTGGTCAGCCCCCCACGCTCAGCCCCTGACCTTGAACACTGACCAACATGCTCTTCTGCACATTCCACTTGGTGGGAATAAGAGGCAGGACAGGATCTCTACGTTTTCAAGATAGTGATTAACAGGGGCACCGAGGCTCTGCTTGCCCAAACTAGCCATCCAGCAGGCATCATACCAGATGTGAACAAAATCTGGTAACAAGGCCAGAGTTTCTAAGAAATGGCCATTAAAGATAACTGAGGATGGAGGAGTGAGGCAGTGGCCAGGGGTGGGACCAGTGACTGCCCTGTGGCCCCCTTCATCGTCCCCCTGCACTGCTTCACCTGCCGCAAGGTCCTTGTAGCAAGCAGAAGGCCTCCCTGGGGCTGCTGTGGGCCGAGTAGATGGAGGGGGATGCCCTGGCCATTCTGGGCCCAAAGCACTGCTGTTGCCTCCACATGCTGTTGGCTCACATGGATCTGATCAAGAAGCTGTGCCCCTGGAGAAGTGACTGTGCCGGAGCCCATCCACTGTGCTGACCACAGGCAGCCAGTGTCTCACCAAGAGTCATTCTATGGAGGTGTGGGTAGCTGGGAGCAGAGCCCAACCACAGCTTCCTGGGTGTGTGTCCTCCCATTCTGAAGGGACTATCCAGAAAAGGTCTTTGAAGACCCACACACATGCACACAGATAACTGAAATGTGGCTGACACTAAACTTCACCGACTGCTTTCATATATATATTATTTAATCTATACAGTGGCCTCCTGGGCACGTGGCTCTGTTGCCACTGCTTCATGTGGAAAGGGAGGCCGAAGGAGCTTAAGGGATCAGTAGAAATAGCACAGCTGCATTGTAAAGCCCCAGAGCGTAGAGTGGACAGCAATGTTATGCCACCAGCTAAGGGTGATTTCCTCAGAGCAGCCTTCCTACTGCTGCCCCAGTGAGATGGGGAGCTACAGGAAAAGCTCATATTTGGAGTTAGCGAGCTGTTATTTAACGTTGGACAGGGGCGCACAGTTGGCTCAGTCAGGTGAGCGTCTGACTCTTGATTTCAGCTCAGGTCATGATCTCAGAGTTGTGAGGTCGAGCCCCACGTCGGGCTCCACGCTCAGCGCGGAGTTTGCTTGAGATCCTCTCCCTCTGCCCTCCCCCTGCTCCAATGTGCTCGCTCTCTCTCAAATAAATAAATAAAATAGAGCTTCCCCCCCAAATTGGACAAATGACCTAGTCACCACGACCATCTCTGTTTCTGTAAGATAGTAATAAAAGAGTCACCTGGAGGCACAAACTTTCCATCACAAGATGGATCCAGTCTGGAGACCAAGCATACAACACGGGGCTGGGGTTCATAAGAGTGTTTCGTGTTCTTGAAGTTCACTAAGAGAGTGGATCTCGGGTGTTCTCACCAGGTCCGTGTGCGTGTGCATCCAGACTCCCACACACAAAATGGTGACTCTGTGGGGCGATGGCTGTGCTGGTAGTTCAACTGGAGAATCATTTCGCAGTGCATGTGGAAGTCAAGACATCACGTTGTACATCTTAAATATTTACCATTTTCCCGTGTCCTACTTCAACAAAGCTTGAAACAGAAGTCTCCCAGCGATGCCGGCGTGCCTTGCCCTCTGTCCTTCCTCACGCCTTCCCCAGGACACCACAGCAACCTGGGCAGACGAGCAGACGGTCCAATGAGATGTTTTGGCCTCATCCTGTTTTACTGAGAAATGGATACTCTTCCTGCCACAAAGCATTATTTTCTAATTTCCCTAAAAAAGGAAAACCAGCGACTTGGCAGGCGGGGAGGCATGGCACTGTTTGGGTTTATGGAGGCAGAAAGCCAGGGGACTGGGAAGAGAAGGGGGCGCACTCTTTTTGTTCTTTCTCCAGCTCGTCTTTCCTTCCCTTGCTTTCTCTCCAGGTATGTTCACGATGGTCTCCAGCCCTGGGTTCGCGACATATGAAATGAAAATTGGTGCAGTTACTTTCCAGATTGCTACTGGAGATATTACCAAAGAAAAGGCAGACGTGATTGTAAACTCAACCACAAGGACATTTAATCTGAAATCAGGTATTTTATTTAAGCACTACGCGTGATTGTCACTATTAGTGTGACTCACTCATTTCTGGGAGGGAAATCGTGGCTAATGTTGCCTGGGTCCAGAGGGAGAGTGTTGCAGAATGGATGCGGGCCCTGGAATCAGAAAGACCTGGGTCTGAATCCCGGCTACGCCACTTAACCTCTGTGTGGCCTTGGAACAATCACTTATCCTTTCTGAGCCTCAGTTTCTCTGCCTGTCAAATGTTGATTTCTCAGAGTCGTGAGGTCGTGAGGTTAGGTGGGGTGTAGCAATGTCAAGGCAAGATGCATCGGGCTTCGTCTATGTTACCTCATCCCCTTGTTAGCACTGAACTGTCAAAATTGCACACTTCTAATTTACAAAGTTTAAGTTTTGTTTTTATTTCCCTTTTTATGGAACTCAGAGGGCACTCGTATCTCACTTCTTGTAACTGTCCCCTATGTTACCCTGACCCAGAAATGAAATTCAGACCCTTTTTCTTGTTTTGTTTTGTTTTTCTGATATGTCTGACCACCTCCATCAATGGAGCACCTTAGGGCATGCCTCCCCACATGTCTATTTGTGTATAACTTGCACACATATACTCTTATGTTAATATATTTTTCATTACAAAGCATTAAATTTTGAAGTAAAAGCATAAGATAAAACATAAATAGAAGTTTAAATACTTTCTAAACTGCAAGATATTGTGGAACTCACTATGTAGAAGTAAATATGTAGAATTACCATCCAATGTATCAGTTCTTTAAAATGCAGACATAAAGAACAGCCAATTATGTAAAATGTGGTACATTGAACATATGTATTTGTCCCTGCCTGCCTTTAAAATTCCATTAAAGCAACAGGAAAGGAAATAAATAAACCCACAAGGAAAAAGAGAGTTGGAGGGAAACCAATCATGAGCAAGAGGCAGCAGTGTATTTTTAGAATATGAGAAGCAGCTAGCCAGTGGTGAAAACTTCGTATAGCGGGCGAGAACAGTAATCCCTAGAGACGCAAGAGTTGGAGGCAGCAGGCACCTGGGAAGGGAGGGCACAGGTAAAGGGATGAACGTAGAATCAGATGCAGTTCTGTAGCAGTAGCTCTTATACCCATTTCTTCCATCCTCCATCCATCCAATGCACTAATAACTTCCCTTGCTCTTCCCCGGCCAGAGATGGGAGGCTCATTCTGTACAGAAACCACGCAGAGATTCTGGACTTAGAGCAGCAGGCCCAGTGAGATGGGGGTAGGAGCTAGACGGTGTTCCAGGGACAGTTTCTGTACTTAACAGTGAGTGCCCAGCCCCCGTCCCTGTGGGGCTCCCAGAACAGGAGGGGCCCTATGCCCTCCAAGACAGGAGATTGGAGGAGCCTGCTGGAGAGAACCCAACTGCCCTGAAGTCTAGTATTTACCACCTGCTTACCTCACACTAAAGTCTGCTGGTCAAATTGAACACCAATAAAAAATAAATTTATAAAAAATAAAAAATAAAGTCTGCTGGTCAGCGAGCCTCCCTTACGTGGTGCTCCCAAACTCCCTCTAAATGTGGATGGACTATAAATAAATAAATAAATAAATAAATAAATTAAAAAAATGTGGATGGACCGATGAAGATCGTCTGATATTTGAGGAAAACCTCTATTATTGCAAAGTCAGACATCATAACAAAAAGGGAATTTTTTTAAAAAAGAGACAATTTGGCTTCTATTCCTTTATAAAAAAAGTGAATAAATAAAAGATGATTCACAGCACACACATACATAATCAAGGAGACACAGGTGGGTAGATGGATAGAGGACAGATAGATCCTTATAATGAAAAAATAACTAATAATTATTCAATCCCTCTGTGGGCCAGATTCTATGCTAAGCCTCTTTTATCCACTGTCTCTTTTAATGTTCAGATAACCCTGTGAGGGAAGTACCGTGCTACCCCCTGTGTAATAGTTGGGGAGCTGACCAGGCCCGTGTTAGCCAGTGAGTGGCAGGGGCCACCCTAGGCCAGGCTGCCCAGATCATGGTCTGTGCCTTCAACCCCGCCACTGAGCTGCATCAGCAGTGACCAAAGTGGTGAAGCTACAGCCTCGATTGGAAGGCAGCCAACTGTCTGTCTACCTGTGAAAAACAAAACATTAAAACCAAAGAACTTGGGACACCTGGGTGGCTCAGCGGTTGAGCGTCTGCCTTCGGCTCAGGTCATGAGCCTGGGGTCCCGGGATCGAGTCCCGCATCGGGCTCCCTGCATGGAGCCTGCTTCTCCCTCTGCCTGTGTCTCTGCCCCTCTGTGTGTCTCTCATGAATAAATAAATAAAATCTTAAAAAAAAAACCCAAAGAACTTAAGTAGAATGCTCAATTTTATTTCAGTTTTGAGATCCATGCTTCTCATTAATATCAGAACTTTCATTTTTATGATTTTCCATTTTATAAAGTAATCAGGGTAGAATGCAGAAAAAAATTCAAATACCTGCAAAAATATCTCTGTACAAATAGAGTCTGTAAAGCTGCAGACACGGGCCTGTCAGCTGTTGGGCGGTGCCGTCACGCAGCAGCTCAGAGTGTTGATTATTCAGCTACTGAATGAAGGTTGCTGTAGAAAATTGAGAAGAAGGTAAACCATAAGAGACACTGAACTCCAGGAAGCAAACTGAGGGTTTGCTGGAGGGGGGGTGGGTGGGAGGAGAAGGAAACTGGGTGATGCGCAGTAAGGACGGCACATGATGTAGTGAGCACTGGGTGTTGTATGCGACTGATGAATCACTAAATTCTGCTTCTGAAACTAATTTCAAAAGGTGGGTATTTCTGTAGGGGGCATCAATGCTTAAAGTTGTGCTTAAAGGGATGAGCTGAACAAAAGTCTAATGTACAAAAGCTATAATCATGCATTGACTTTTTTTAAGATTTATTTATTTATTTATTTATTTATTTATTTATTTATTTATTTATTTATTTATTTATTTATTCATGAGAGACACACAGAGAGAGAGGCAGAGACCCAGGCAGAGGGAGAAGCAGGCTCCATGCAGGGAGCCCGATTTGGGACTCGATCCCGGGACCCCAGCATCACACCCTGGGCTGAAGGTGGCGCTGAACTGCTGAGCCACCGGGGCTGCCCAATGCATTGACTTTTAACTAATGCTTTTTACCACTAACATGTCTTAACATGTCTTATTTAGGGGTATCTAAAGCCGTTTTAGAAGGTGCCGGACCAGCTGTGGAAAATGAATGTGCTGTACGAGGTATGACCACCTGTTACTTTCGGCTACAACCTATTGCAGATCAGAAGGGCTGAGAATACTATCTCACAGGGCCTGTGGGGGTGAAAGTGGTGAGCGCTTTGGGAAAAGGTTGATTCCCTGGGAGAGCAGATACAGGTGCTGTGACTCTGTGGCCATGGGGAGGTGGTCCTTTCCCCCCCCACCTTCCCACATATTAAAAAGAAACTAGGCCTGGGTCCTAATTGCCCAGGCTCTACCACTTAGAGTCGATCCTACTCTGGTAGAGTAGGAGGGATCCTGGGTATGCCATCTAATCTACAAGAGCTTTGTTTCTCTTATCTGTTAGACAGTTCTAGACTCTACTAACAAGGGAGGAGTATGGGAAGGCTGTCTCACAGGTGGTTTTGAGGATCAGGACAATGAATGTGAAAAGCTCTGTAAAGTGCTGTATAAATGATCTTTCACTTTTCTCAACCTTGTTCTACTTGCTATAGCACCTCATCTACTGACACGAGTAAGTGTGGAGCCTTGGTGGGTCTGAGGTGTTTCCTGACACCCAGCAATTCTTCATTTCTAACACTATCTACCTGTAGAAATAACACTCGATCCCATAGGTTAAAGGGCTCCAGTCCCACTTCAAATGCCAGGCACAAGTCCCAGCGGCCACCTGTACTACTGACCCATCTCCTATAAATTGGGTCATTCACAAAACCCTTTCTCAGGTTTGACAATACCCTAGGATGACTCTTAGAACATCAGGAAAACACTTGTCTTACATTTACCAGTTTATTATGAAGGATACACCTCAGGAGCAGCCACATGGAAGAGATGCAAAGGGGAAGAGATGGAAGCCCCATGCCCTCTCCAGATGCTCCACCCTCCCAACACCTAAGTATATATACCAACCTGAAGATTCCCAAATCCAGTTATTTAGGAGTTTTTATGGAGGTTTTATTGTGGGGGCGGGATTAATGAAATCATTAGATTTGTGGTTTAGGTCCCCGGAGGCCAGGGGCTGGGGCTCAAAGTTCCAATCCTCTACCCTTGGCGTGGCCTTTCTGGAGAGCAGTATCCATTCCAAAATTATCCAGCCCACAGCCCTCAAGAACCATCTCATTCGCTCATGAATGACACTCTCATCACTCAGGAGATTCCAGAGTTCTTGGAACTCTGAGCTCAGAACCAAGGACAAACATCAAATCCTTATTTTTTATTATATCACAGTGGGGGAACCTGTAAGAGTGATTGTAAACTCTTTATCCTCCAAAACCGGGACTCCTGCCTTGCCCAGCAGACAGTCAGCTAGGAGGGTGATTTAAAGAAGTCACAGGTCCCATGCTTGACAAACAACTGAACTGCTTTGGCTGGAAAGTCCTATCTTGATGGCTCTCCTCTGATCGAGACATTGTCTCCCCAATCTATTCCTGGAGAGGGATCAGGGGAAGTAATTCTGATCACCAACATGAGGACGTTCGCTGGAATTTATGGGCTGCAGAGCTGGCCGTGCCTTGGAAGGCAGAAGCAGGGAATGACGTGAGGTTGGACAAGCTGCCAAAGCCTGTGACGCTACCTGGGAGGGGGCAGCAGGGAGGGCCCGGGCAGGGTGGGTGGCTGGGCCCACTCTCCTGAGTTGGCTGGAGCCCTGCCTTCCTCAGGGGCCTACTGGGCGCCTTAAAACAAGCCCTAGTCATTTCCATGTGCTCGGGAGCTCCGAGTGTCCTAAGAGAGGGAGGAGTTTTCACCCTTTCGTGTCTCCACACCACCGGATGCATCACTTTTCTCTCCTTGAAAAATTAATCTATAGCATATGAATTGCTCTTCTGGACAGCAGCTTGGGGCGGGGGAGTGGGGTAAGAGCTCTGGACAGTGGCTGCTTGGGTTCAAATCCCAGGCAGTCTTTGCTACTAACCTTATATCTCTGAGCCTCTGTTTAACCTGTGAAGTGGAAGAAATAGTACCTGCCTGCTAGCCTTGTTTGAGGATTGAGTGAATTAGAGCAGGTTAGAGTGCTTTTGAGTAGCACCCCAAATATTCATCAGTGTAGGTGTTGAGTTAGGGAATCCTGGTCATGGGACATCTGGGTGGCCCAGCGGTTGGGCACCTGCCTTCAGCCTAGGGCGTGACCCCGGTCCTGGGATCAAGTCCTGCATCGGGCTCCCTGCAGGGAGCCTGCTTCTCCCTCTGCCTGGGTCTCTGCCTCTCTCTCTCTCTCTGTGTCTCTCATGAATAAATAAATGAAACCTTTTAAAAAATAAAAAATAAAGAATCCTGGTCATAAAGAAACTGAGCCTTGTCACAGTCCCTGTGGGTGAAGCCAGCGAGATGGAGGAACGCTGGACTTGGTCAGGAATCATCACAGGCTTTCCTGGGGTCCGCTCTTTTCATTTCTCGGTGGTCACCTTGTTGCTTCCTGTGAGTAATGTGCTGTGTTTTCCTTTTCTTCCTTCTGTTCTAGCTGCACAGCCTCACGGAGAGTTTATAATTACACAAGGTGGCTACTTAATGTGCAAGATAATCATTCACGTTCTTGGGGAAAATGATGTCAGGAAAACTGTCTCCACTGTCCTAGAAGAATGTGAGCAGAGGAAGTACACATCTGTTGCCCTTCCAGCCATCGGAACAGGTTTGCAGCCTCTCACCACTCAACTTCTGGATAATCCAGATTCCTTGAGGCTTAGCCTCACGGTTGGGCCCTCGGTGCTGAGTGCAGGCAGGGGCAGTGATGCGTCTCAGGCCACCTAGCAGCCCCTGGGGGCCCTGTGTGGGGCCCAGGCCTCTGTCAGGCATCTCTGTTCTTTACTGTATGGTCTCCAGGTATCTCTCCACGTTTGGCCCTTAATGCCATGGTTTTCTTGCACTTCTCCCGGGGCGTGCTCCGTTTCAGCCTGCCCTCTGGTTTCCAAACCCTCACGACCTCCCCCTGGGGTTTACTGCAGGGTCTCCCACTGGCCCCTCATTTGTGCATTCCTTAGATGGAGATGCTGTTTCCCAGGCCCACCACGAGTTCCTGGGCATGAAATCCTTAGTAGGATGCAGTCGCTGTGCTTAAGCAACAAGCTCAGGTCTAGGGGCGCCTGGGTGGCTCAGGCCGTTACGTGCCTGCCTTCAGCTCAGATCGTGATCCCAGGGGCCGGGGATCGAATCCCACATCCAGCTCCCTGCTCAGCGTGGTGTCTGCTTCTCCCTCTGCCCTTCCCACCCCTCCTCATCCCTCCCCACAGCTCCTGCACACTCTAGCTTGTGCTCTCTCTCCCTCTCTCTCTGGCAAAAAGAAATAAATAAAAATCTTTAAAAATACATGTAAATGTCAGAATCCAACTCCGAGTTTCTAGGAACACTTTCCTCATCTCTATCCTAGTGTACAATAATTTGCTCTTACTTGAAGGTGATACTAATGACCCGCTCCCTGATTCATTCACACTCAATTGCACAGGCTTTTTAAAAGGGCCTGGAGGGCAGCTTGAGGTGGGGGGGGGGGGGTTGCTCAGCAGTTTAGCGCCGCCTTGGGCCCATCGCGTGATCCTGGAGACCCCGGATGGAGTCCTACGTTGGGCTCCCTGCAGGGAGCCTGCTTCTCCCTCTGCCTGTGTCTCTACCTCTCTCTCTTTCTCTCTCTGTGTCTCTCATGAATAAATAAATAAAATCTAAAATAAAATTAAAATAAAATAAAATAAAAGGGCCTGGGAGGGCCTTAATAATGTCATCACATGATTATATAGTGTAGTAAAGCTTCAAGAGCAAGATAGTTTGACCACTGTGGGTTAGAGTCACTGTTTCTTCCCACTTTGACTTCTCAGACTTTTCCTGGCACTGAGCATTGGAGAGACTGCAAGTATTTTTAGAACACATCTAAGGAAACTTGAGTTGGGAATATGGTTTTCAAAATCTCAAATTTTATGCTTAACTGTGATTTTTTTTGATCAATGTTCGCTTTTACATGTAATTTTATGTTTTTATTTTGTATTCTTTTTCTGAGATGCATACATTTCAAACCCTACAAAATCTAGACCCACTCCTGACTCTTAGTTTCCCCATTTTGCAGATAGGAATTCGAGGTTTTAAGTACAAGGTGATATAGCTAGTAAGCAACATTCACACCCAGGCAGCCTGGTCTGCACATTTCAACCATTACATTTTTTTTTTAATATTACGTGGTTTTGGTTGCCATTATGCTCTTAATTACTATGTTCTTAGCTGCCACATTCTTATCTCTATTAGCTATTACCTTCTATTATCACCCCCGCTTTATAGCTGAGGAAATTGAAGTTTGGAGGTACTGTGGGCTGAGTTGTATTCCCCTGCCAAATTCGAGTGTTGAAACCCTAACCCCCAGTACCTCAGAATGTGACTGTATTTAATGAGAGGGTCTTTTAAAAGGTAATTAGGTTAGGGGCACCTGGGTGGCTCAGTGGTTGAGCATCTGACTTTCACTCAGGTTGTGATCTTGGGGAACTGGGATTGAGTCCCGCATCAGGCTCCCTGCTTCTCCCTCTGCCTATGTCTCTGCCTCTCTCTCTTTCACATGAAAAAATAAAATCTTTTTTTAAAAAAGAGGTAATTAAGTTAAAATGAGGCCTAGTGAGTGGGCTCTAATCCAATATGACCAGGGTCCTTGTTAGTTAGGAGATTAGAACATCAGTAGGTCCAGAGAGAAGGCCATGAGAAGACACAGGGAGAAGACAGCCATATACAAGTCTCAGAGAGAGTTCTCAAAAGAAACCAATCTTTCCAACACCTGGATCTCAGACTTCTAGTCTCCAGAATTGTGAGAAAATAATTTCTGTTGCTTGAGCCAACAGTCATGGCACTTTGTCATGGCATCCCAGGCAAACTAATATAAGAGGAATCAAATGATTTACCCAAGATCACACAGCTAACCAGTGGAGAGCCAGGACACGAACCCAGATCTTCTGCACCGTCACATGCTCTTTTCTCTGTGCTGCCAGCATCCTTCAGTTAAAGACCAGCAGGAACACACGGTATGAGGAACTATGCAGCATCTCACCAAGAGGTCTTTAAGGACTTATTAATGGATTTGAGCTTGCACTGGGTGGCTTTGTGGTGGTCTTAAGCAAGTGGGGCTTTGCTCTGGCTTGGATACTTTGAGGAAGCAGACATGGTTCTATGGTTGGGCATCTTACCTGGAAGGGGAGAAGAGTATGGCTGATGCTGTGATTATGAACGAAGCCGCACTTGCTCCTATTAGCCAGGATGGGGAAGGTTGGGCCATTTTTGTGGTGTGGATAGTGTTCATGTTTTTGGCTGTGGTCAGACATGACTATTCAGTAGTTGTGTTTGACTTAATTGATCCCAGCCACAGAGTGGTTGCATCGAATGACGTCCTATGACTTTGTGTTCAACCAGCGTACACGGAGACCCAGCTCTGAGTGCCGGACCCCTTCTGGCCGCCGGCTGCTTTCCTCTTTGTCAGCACCAAAAACTGCATTTGCCAAATCTCATCACTTGCCTAATACCTGCTAAAGCTTCTTTTGAGCGCTTAAAGTTTTTCTTTTTCAGGCAATGCTGGAAAAAACCCAACCATCGTCGCTGATGACATGATCAGTGCTGTTGTAGACTTCTCATGGAAACACTCCACCCCATCATTAAAAAAAGTTAAAGTTGTCATCTTTCTATCTGATTTGCTAAATGTATTCTATGACAACATGAAAAAGAGAGAAAATTCTACATCACCTTTCTTTCAATCCACATGCTTCGAGACTGCACGTAAGATGATCTTTAAAAAATCATGTGGTTATTGCTCAGATTACTGGGCAGATGTTTAGATAATAATGGTCACTGTTTTATCAGTTTTAGGATTCAACAGACAGCCTCCTATAATATGTGGGAGAAGTACAGGAACTATGCAGCCCAGGCTCCTGTCCACCAATTATTCTTCTGAAGGGCAAAATCACTCCTGGGAAACAGGAATTGCAAAGGAACAAGAAGAGAATAGAAGTAAGGATGCAGAAAGAGGGGGATGGGCTTTGAAAATCCTAGCCAGTTATCTCATTATGTACTTATGGACTAGCATCGATCCTCAGTGCCCCTCGTAGCTGTGAACTGGCTGACCAATACTGGTTTATTGATTATTCACCGCTAGATAAGTTAGCCCAGGAATAGAAGCAGATGGAAGAAGGGAGTGGTCAGAGTCACTCTGCTGTACTACTTCATGAGCAAGCAGAGTCCCAGTTGCTTCTCTGTAAGATGTGTGTTTATGCATTATTTTTAAGTGTCTATATTGACCTGCTCCTCTTTCCCCCATTTTGTGGCTTCTGTACTGCTGTGAAAGTAACTAGAAAAGCAGCCTCCTCTTTGCAAGCACTGTTTTTGCCCATTTTGAGCACTCACTCATAGAGCACTATGGGTTTTACTAGTGATGAAGTGTGCCTGTCATCAGAAGCCTGTCTAAACTGGAAATTGTTGTCTGAACCTGCCAGTGGGAATTTCGGTTCTCTCTACACTTATTTCCTGACAACCATTCTTGTCAATGTGCGTTCATACACAGCACATATAAGAGCTACGTGAATACACACACACAGTAAAGAAAATTGAAGATAATAGTTGGATCTGTTAATGCTCTTGCAGTAGCAAATAATAGAAAATCCAGTTTAAACTGGCTTATAGAAAAAATTGAAGTTGACTCACATAACTATAAAGTCCTAGGCATATGTGGCTTTGGGTCCAATTTGATCCAGGTACTCATATTATATAATCTAGACCCTGGCTTTCTTCATCTCTCACTCTCTTCTCAGCTGTGTTGTCTTTATCTTCAGGTTTCACATGGTGGAAGAGGGCTGCCAGCAGTATCAGGCTCATATCCCCCAGCAGTATCAGGGTGGGTTCAACAGGAAAGGGTGTATCTAGGGGCAACATATACTTACCATCAGGAACATGATGCCTGGGAACAGAGGTGTTCATATAAAGCTGAAATTCCTTCTGGTTGAATCAGCTTAGCTCATCATTGCAGCTAGGGAACTGGAATTACACTAATTACCCAACCCAGAGTCACATGCTGTATCCTTTTTTTTTTTTTTTTTTGTGCTGTATCCTTGAACCGAAGGAGATCACTCTCTGAAGCAATGGGGAGGAGTTGTTCATCCAAGGAAATTCAGGAAATAAAAAGGGAAAAGGCTGCTGGAGAGTTAAAAATAATACATACCTACTAGAGTATCTCAGGGTATATAAATTAACATTTTTCCCCCTTTGGTCTTTGTAGAGGAAAATTTTATTTGAATTTAAGAGCAATAAGTCATTTTAAGTAAAGTGAAAAATTAACTTAAACTGGTTCATCTACTCCGTGTATACACCAAGGATTTAAAATGACTTATGACATTTTAAAAATAGGAAGGGGCGCCTGGGTGGCTCAGTCAGTCAAGCGTTCGACTCTTGATTTCGGGTCAGGTCATAATTTCAGGGTTGTGAGATCTAGTCCCTTGGAGGGCTTCACACTGGGCATGGAGTCTGCTTAAAAGTCTCTGCCTTCTTCCACCTCTGTCCCTCCCCTTCCCATTTCTCTTTCTAAAAAAAAAAAATTATATATATATATAAACATTGGAGACAAACAAAAGATAACTAAAATGAGCAGACCAGTGACCCAATGGCACTTGGGGCAAAAACAAACAATACAACTGACTTACATAATCTTTGTTAGTAGATGAAAGTAATAATGCAGATGAAATGTTAGATAAAAGGACATTTGTTGGCAGAGATAAACTTGAATTTTAGTAAGAATTTATCATGTGGACTTCTTTAAAAGAGAACTGAGTTTCATTTGAGCCGATGATACACAGTTGCTTTTCCAAACTATTCATTGATTCAGAGTGCTTTTACTGAGCATGGATTGAATATCAGACCCCAGCAACAAGATTGGGAGCCATGTAAGGAGGTGGGAGTTAAAGCCATTGAGTGTGGATCTGATTATCCATGCAGACTGTGGAGGTAGAGAAGGTCAAGACTGAAGGCAGAGCCAGGATTTGTGGTGCGTCATCCCACCTCTGCTTGTGGAGAGGAAACTGAGGCAGGCTGCACAAGTAGAAGTGCAGGAGGGCATTCATCCAAAACATCAGGAATGGGAAAGTAGGGACGCTTGGGTGGCTCAGTGGTTGAGCATCTGCCTTCAGCTCAGGGCGTGATCCCGTGAGCCTGGGATCGAGTCCCACATTGGGCTCCCCAGAGGGAACCTGCTTCTCCCTCGACCTGTGTCTCTGCCTCTGTGTGTCTCTCATGAATAAGTAAATAAAATCCTTAAAAAAAAAAGGAATGGGAAAGTAGAGTGACATTTATCTTTTAAAAGAGATTTTTAGGAAAAGCACTCAGGAAAGTGCCTGGTACATGGCAAACACTTGAAGAAGGTAGCCATCTCGTGTTACCTCCCAGGAAACTCTGGGCTGTGAGGCACTAGAGCACAATTCTTTTCCTTCTTTGGACAGTGGTCTTTCATGTAACGTTGGATGTGTGAATACTTAGCCTTCCTGGGACTTGGTTTTCTCATCGCTAAATTGTCCAGCTAAGGGTCACCTTTTGTCCACAGGCAGAGTAAGTAGCACAATTCAGTGCGGCTTAAGGGTGTGATTTAAGTTGTTCCTCTCAAGAAAATACCATTGTCTTTAAGCTTTACTCCCTCTTTATTTATTTTTAAGATTTATTCATTTTCTTTTAGAGAGGGAGAGAAAGAGAAAGAGAGTATGGGTGACAAGGGGGCAGAGAGAGAATCTTAAGCAGACTCTACACTGAACACAGAGCATGCCAGGGGGCTCAATCACACAACCCCAAGATCATGACCTCAGCTGAAATCAAGAGCCAGACGCCCAACTCTCAGGCTCCCTGCTCAGCAGGAGAGTCTGCTTCTCCCTCTGCCCTTGCTCGCTCTCTCTCTCAAATAAATAAAGTCTTAAAAAAAAAAAAAGAACCACACTAAATAAAACTGATAAACACGAAAACATCAATAAATCAGTTTTCATATTTATACATCAGTTTTTTTATGATAGTCAGAGAGAGAGAGAGAGAGAGAGGCAGAGGGAGAAGCAGGCTCCATGCACCGGGAGCCCGATGTGGGATTCGATCCCGGGTCTCCGGGAAAGCGCCCTGGGCCAAAGGCAGGGACCAAACCGCTGCGCCACCCAGGGATCCCAGGTTTTTTTTTTAAGTAGGCTTCACACCCACTCTGGAGCCCATCATAGGACTTGAACTTATGACCCTGAGATCAAGACCTGAGCTGAAATCAAGAGTCAGTTGCTCAACCAATTGAGCCACCCAGGCACTCCCACACATCAGTTTCTAATGGAATTAATTCTATTAAGTTTTCTGGGGAAATTCTCATTTCAAGCTACACTGAACCTAAGTATACCTAAATATTTTAGCTAGGCCATTACTATATGTCATACTAGCATCAGAGCTATTCATTTTGTCATCGTTTACCAAATTGAGGATGATAAAAGAAGCAGTTGTGAAATGTGTAGCTTTTTGGTTTTTTTCAAAGACCAAGATTAGATGAATGTGAAGCAAGAGCATAGGAAGTGCCTTGATTTTCAGAAGTCCCTGGAAATGGATATTGTGTTTTCACCAAATGCTGACTTCCCAGATAATATTCCTGAACACTGGACCAACATGAATCAGCAGCTGTCTTGTGTGATTGAGCTACATCCTGGACAATCAGAATATGATACCGTAAGGGCCTTGTTCTCTGAGACCTGTTTTTTCTACAAAATAGAGAAGGTAAAATTGTGTTAAAAAATCGCTTCTTTTAACTATCGAAGAACTAACATGAAAGCCATCTGTTTTATAACAACTCTTCCTTCTTTTATACCTTACTGTATTTATTTTAATTAGACTAACTCAAGCTTCATAGACTTCGAATCTCATGGCTCATTCATTAGCAATAATGAAGGAGATTCCCAAAAGTAGCATAAATATGTCTGGATACTTTCACTTACGATTTACAAACAAACCCATTCAAACTGATTAAACAGGAAGAAATGTATTAGAAATGTATTAATGGAAAGTTCAGAAGTAGGATGGTTTTTGGAACAGTTGGATCCACTGGCTTGATGACATCATGGATCCAGTTTCTCTGGCTTTGCCATCCACAGGGTCAGCTTCATCTGAAGGCTGGACTCGCTTCATAATTGTAGGGTAGCTCCTGGTGGCAATCAGGGGGTCTCCACTTCCTCCATTCACATCCCATGGAAGAAACACATCCACTGGATGAGAGTCTCAGGCTTTGTGTTGAGCGGACCACTCCAGCCGGGTTGTGTCAGGAGAGTACTATATGCTGATTGGCTTCGACCTGGACTGTCAAATGCCATCATTTTGTGATCCTATCATGAGACAGACCCTGATTGGTTAAACCCAATGAGTCTCCCCACTGAGAACTAAACATGAGTCCAACTCCACCCACACCAGCAGTTGCTGTACAACGGAGATGAAGTGGAATAGATGTTCAGGGATTCCCACAATGTCCACCATGCTGCATAAAAAAATTTAGCCAGTAGAGTATAGGAGTTTAGTAGAAGGTCATTATCATACCAGGTATATCAGAGCAGGGTGCGACATCCTAGTCCTTTAAAAATCAACCACATTATAGCACTTAAGAAATTGTGCTTTCATAAGCTTCCACATGGCTGACTCACCCTTGAGCAGTGGGCTTCTTAAGGTAGCAGTTGGATTCCTAGTACCTAGCACGGTTCCTCCCATATCATAAGACATAATACCTATTGAGTGAGCTTACTTCCTGAGAAAGGAATCAGAAGAGAGACTCCTGCAGAAAGGACAGAATTTAAAGGAGGGGATGCTTCATGGATGTTCAACACTGTTGAGAGTACGAGAACCTTCCTTGTTCAGTTGTGTTTTACAGTATCTGTAACTTTCTTGGCTCTTATCCTTCTAGTATAACCATTTTGAAACACCTCATTTTTGTATTAATTCCATAATATACTTTCTTTCCTGCTGCCTCTAGATAAAGTCATTATTAATTCATGGCCCCCAGCCTCTGCTGGACTCTCCAGATGCCTGGAATCCTTTATTGCTTCCTCCAGTCCGTTCCCTCATGCATTCCCCTTTGCAAAATTTCAACACTCTGCTTGAGGTCTTCATCTCTCTCAAAACAACTTTCCCTCCTGCTTTTATGTCTTGGCTTCTCCTCAACTTCTGCTACAGGTAACCACTTCGTTCTTCTTATTTATGTATTTATTTTTAATAAATAAGATTTTTTATTTTTAAATTATTATTATTATTATTATTATTATTATTATTAAAGTTGGCTTCATGCCCAGCATGGGGCCCAACACTGGGCTTGAACTCACAATCTGTCAGTGGCTATTTGACTCTTGGTTTTGGCTCAGGTTGTGGTCTCATGCTTGTGAGATTAAGCCTGCCTCTGGCTCTGTGCTCAGCATGGAGTCCACTTGAGATGCTCTCTCTCTCTCTCACTGTGCCCCTCCTGCTTGTGCTCTCTGTCTCTCTCTCTAAAATAAATAAATAAATCTTAAAAAAACAAACAAACAAACAGTTGGATGCTTAATAGACTGAGCCATCCAGGCACCGCTTATTTATTTGTTTGTTTTAGAGAGAGACAGAAAAAGGGAGGTAGGTGCAGAGGGAGAGGGAGACAGGGAATTTTAAGCAGGCTCCATTCCAGTTTGGAGCATGACATGGGGTTCGATTTTACAACCTGTGCCAAAATGAGATCATTGTGCCAAAATCCAGAGTTGCATGCTTAACCAATGGAACCACCTAGGTATTCCTTGAGTAAGAATTTTTGTTTAAGATTGTATTTATTTATTCACGAGAGACACACAGAGAGGCAGAGACATAGGCAGAGGGAGAAGCAGACTCCATGCAGGGAGCCCAATGTGGGACTCGATCCCTGGGATCACGACCTGAGCCAAAGGCAGACGCTCAACCACTGAGCCACCCAGGTGTCCCTTGAGTAAGAATTTGAATGTGAGTGAATCTCCAGGGATTCCAGGGAACACACACACACACACACACACACACACATATATAATATTTACATATATATAGGTAAATATTTTTATATAAATTATAATTTCTGTCCTATAAACTATAGTAAGCACTATTACAAAGTATAGATACTCTTAACCTAGCCTTTTTCTAAAGGCAGAAAACTACCTATTCTCGGAATTTGCTGTTTATTTGCAATTTTTTTCTTTCTCCTTCTCCTCCTCCTTCAGTCCTCCTCCCTCTCCTCCAAATTGCTATTTTACAATCCACAACAAGCACAATATACTGATCTCTAAAGTCATTTTCAAAATGTTTTGCTTTGTGTCATTTGCAGATTGAGAGGATACAGAATGTGTGCCTCTGGCAGAGCTACCAGATAAAGAAAAAGCACATGGACATCAAGAATGGCTATAGAGATAATGAGAGAGTCCTGTTCCATGGGACAGATGCAGACTCGGTGCCATATGTCAATCAGCATGGCTTTAACCGCAGTTATGCTGGGAAGAATGGTAAGAAAGCAAGCAATCCGGTTGACCAGAAGGCGGTGAACGGTAGCTCTGGGGTTGGCTCTCCACACCCAAGCAGTGTAGAACCATAGATGGCAGCTGTCTGGTCATTGCCAGGGTAGGGGGTCTTTGTGCTTCATCAGAAAGGAGGTTGGCAACTTTCTGAGGCTAGAGGGAGTGGATTTTGGAAGTGATGACAAGTGGCTTTGGTGGGCAAGAACTGCATGAAAAAAAAAAAACTTGTGTCAGGTTTTGGTCATGGTTCTACACACTGATGATTTTATGTTCTTAGGAAGGTTTCTATCTTTCTCTTTACAGCTGCAGCTTATGGAAAAGGAACCTATTTTGCTGTTGATGCCAGATATTCTGCAGATGATATATATTCCAGACCAGACAGCAATGGGAGAAAACATATTTATGTTGTACGAGTACTTACGGGAGTCTACACACTGGGACATGCAGGATTAGTTACCCCTCCATCAAAGAACCCTCACAATCCCACAGATCTGTTTGACTCTGTCACAAACGATACACAACATCCAAACCTGTTTGTGGTATTCTCTGATAATCAAGCTTACCCAGAATATCTCATAACTTTCAGGTATTAAAAAATAGGGTTTTTTTTTTCAATCTCAAAGAGACGATTTAGTCGTCATTATGAGAACAATGTATAGAGTTTTTGTCTTTGCCTTTGGCTTGTTTAGTAGATAAAAATCTCTCTGTTAGACCCCAAAATGCTGAAAACAGCCTTTTGAAGATGCTCTATTGCCATTTGTAGCATACCTCTTTTCTCAGCATATTGATGAGTGGAAGTTAAGAAATGTAGATGACATAATTATAGCAACAACTATTTACAGACACCAAATCTGTAGAACAAAAAACACATTACTTTTTTCTAGCAGAGAAGAAGTAAGATGAATCACTTTAAAACCAAGATGTCATTGTTCTTACAGAACATGTTAAGACATCAAACTGTGTTGAGCTCAACTGTACTGTTAAATAACGAGGCTGCTATTGTGCATCTGTAACAGCTGGGAATTTTGCTTCCTGAAGAAATACTTATTAGCTATAGCTCAGCTTGAATGACTGAATCAAAAGGTATCACCTCAAATCTGTTGTGAAATAATCCAGGAAAAAATGTGTTGTGCCACTGTCTAATGCTACATAACAAATTCCTACAAAATTGAGTGGCTTTGTGGGTAAGGAATTCAGGCATGGCTTAGTTGGGTCATTCGGATTTAGGGTCTCTCATGAAGTTGAGTAAAGGTGGTGGCAGGGGATGCGGTCTTCTGAAGGCTTGACTGAGGCTGGGAGATCTGCTTCCAAGGTGGATCACTCAAATAGCTAAAAAGTTTTTGCTGGTTGGCAGGAGTCCTCAGTTTTTCCCCCACATGATCCTCTCTAGGCTGACTCTGTCGCTCATGACATGGCAGCTGGCTTACCCCACAGTCAGCAGTTCAGGAGGGCCAGAGGCAGAAGCCTGATGTCTTTTATGACCTAGCCTCTGGAGTCAGACTCCACCTCTTCTACAGTATCCTGTTGGTTCCATGGGTCAGCTCTTCCAGTGTAAGTGCAAATTGTGGAAGGGCATGGACACCAGCAGATGGCAAACATTGGGGACCATCTTAGAGGCCATAAAATGAGGGAATGACTGATACATTGATAAAATGTTACAAGCAAGTGGAAAGGACTCCAGATGTCATCTAAGCCCACTGTCCCCTCATCTTTCTCCTCTACCCTCCCCCTCTCCCAGGCAAAAAGCCCTTGAGCCTCCGCTCGACCGTTTCGAACACTCCACATCTTAAGGATAACTTATTCCATCATGAGACAGCTCTAACTGTTGGAAAACTCTTGTTTACGCTGAGTGGAAATCTGTTCTTCTGCGTCTATTGCCTGCTGATCACTGTCCCACCTCCTGGAGGACGCAGAGCAAACTCATTCCTTTTACAGATGGTCACTCTTCAGATTCATCTCTTCCCTCTTTGATGTTAGAGTTAGGTAAATTCTTGAAATACTTAGCAGCTTCTTTATCCTGATGTATCACTTATCAAGAGTTAAAGATATCGAAGAAGTGTTTACATAAATAATCTTAGATAAGCACATGCACATTAAAAAGAGTACAGGAAAGTTTAAAACTGTCACCATACTGTATCACTCATAATTGCGACATTCAGAGGAAACTACTGCCAAGTTCTTAAACACTCCCTTCTCCTTCCTACATCCATCTTCAACGAAGTCAAAGTCGTACTTTATTGAATTATTTAATTATACAATATTGTTGGGGATCCCTGGATGCCTCAGCGGTTTAGGGCCTATCCTCCGCCCAGAGCGTGATCCTGGAGACCGGGATCGAGTCCCACGTCGGGCTCCCTGCATGGAGCCTGCTTCTCCCTCTGCCTGTGTCTCTGCCTCTCTCTCTCTCTCTGTCTCTCATGAACAACAACAAAAATTATACAATGTTGTATCTGCCTTTTTTCATTTAACATTGTGTTACCCTCATGTTATTAATTTCTTCTGTAAACATAAATTGTAATGGCCCGGTTTTTCCACTATATATTTTCCTTTTATGTATCTATAATCCTAAAGTTTTAAAAAATGTCATCTTTCCTTATAGCTTAATAATCCAATTTCCTTCTGTAATGTATCTGTATTATTTCCCCCATGTTGTTAAATATCTAATGTATCTTTGGTTGGTTGCATAGTATTTCATTGTATGTCTCTAGGTAAATGTTATGTCAAAGTTGGGTGCCGTATATTTCTAGATAAATATATGGTTGGATTATGAGATGCAAAGACCATAATCTGCCTTCAATGAGATGCTGCTTCCCGAATCTCTTGGGGGAGATAGAGTCCTAGAGAGGAAAAATAATGCTGTGTCAGTTGGTCATGGGCCTTGGCTCCCATCTCCAGTATAGAATCCTAGTGAGCCAGGTTGGAACGTAGAAGGACTCTTTTTACTTAGGTTAGGTAGGCTTTTATTTGCAATGTAAACTGCTATCATGGTCTCTTCCAATGCTGTCACTCAAGGACCCCCCCTAATTTATTTTGCTGTACTTCTGCTCATAATACATATGCTGATGTGTTAATTGAACAGAGGGTTTATGAATTCATTTACCAGTGGTGGGTTAATTATCACAATGCTGGTAAGATCATTTACAGGTAATATGAACCAATTTGATTTTGCTAAATAGTTTATTAGAACAAATACGGTTTCTTACAGTAAACATGCTTTACGAGCTTAACTGATAAAATTATTACGTTTACAAGCTGCCGTGGGAAAAACTCTTGCTGTTTCTCCTTTATTCATACTACGTCCACACTCACAACGCTTGACACCAGATGTGTGGGGTTTTCTCCCACTCTAAGCAATCCTCTGCAACATTAGCTGGGCGTCCCACAATTTAACTCCATTCTGACACGATCTACCTAGAAATAGCATCAGATCCCAACTTGGAAGCTCCCTGTAGCTCATACCTTTGGGATTTTTGTGGATATTTCAACATGTAGGTAATGAATGGTCATTCGCTCCATTTCCAGATCCTCTCCCCTTGATGGAGAATAGGAGATGGAGCTCAAAGCTCCAACCTTCTAATTGTGGCTTGGACTTTTTTAGTGACTTCATGAGAACAAAAAATACTGCCACACCCAAGAAATTCCAAGAAATTTAGGAACTCTGTGTCAGGAAGTAGGGTCAAAGATCAAATTTTAGAACAAAAGATGCTTCTAGTACTTTCATAACCTTGAAAATTACAAGGCTTTTAGAAGCTCTGAGCCAGGAACCAGGGGCAGAAACCAACATATACTTTTTATTATTTCACACAAGTTTTGAACTTTTCTGCCACTCTTAGTAAACATATGAAAGAAGTCTTGTAATTAAACTCAGAGTAAATAACAGGATTTTTAACTGAAGTACAGTTGACAAGGAGTGTTACATTAGTTTCAGGTGTCCGGTATAGTGATTGGACAACTCTATACGTTCTGCTAAGCTTACCACAAGCATAGCTATCACTTGTCACCATACAACACCATTACAATACCACTGACCATGTTCCCTATGCTGGACCTTTGAGTGACTCATTTAATTTTAAAAGACCTTTGCTCCATCTCCCTCTCTGTTTATATTACCTTTGTGGTCACCAGGATATAAATAATATCTAACTTTCTTTTCCTTTTCTTGTTAAAAAGGGCATTTTCAACGTAGTAATTTATTTCTCCAAAGCCCCTTGTTACCTACAATTATAATTCTATAACAAAGACCTGTCAAATAAGTAATTTTGACTTCCACAAAATCCACCCCCAGCTCTTCAATCCAAATCTTCCTCTTGTGTGCCTGATGTGCTCCTGCTTCTCCACACCCAAACCCAGCATCCCCTTTACCTCTTGATGGCTCATTCACATTTCACATAGTCAGACAGGAATACACTAGAAAGGACTTTTTCAATACCAGAACAAACTTTCTGCAAAAAAATTAAAGAATGCAAATGATTCTCTGCATGTCTCTGTAGTTTATAGTGCAGCGTGGTCTTTCATGTTAAATCCTCTAAATTCACCAATCAAAGCACCTGAGATAAGGAATGTACTCACCGGGGCACCGGGGTGGCTCAGTGGTTGAGCATCTGCCTTTGGCTCAGGTCGTGATCCCAGAGTCCTGGGATCAAATCCTGCATCAGGCTCCCCGCAGGGTGCCTGCTTCTCCCTCTGCCTCTGTCTCTGCCTCTCTCTGTGTCTCTCATGAATAAATAATAAATAAAAAGATCTTTAAAAAAAGGAATGTATTCACCAACACAAAATCAATAACATCAATTGAGCACATCTGGGGTCAACAAAAAACCTAAAATTTTCTGTGTAAGTGAAAAAAGAGCCTCCTCCAAAAGGAATTTTAGAATCTAGAACACATTAAGATAACTCCTGCCTTGCTACTTTTCCAGGGTTAAATAAGATAATACCACAGTTATGTTGAAAATATATATATATTATAGTTTTAAACTAAAAATTGGAAGGCAAGAAGCAAGGAGTATAACCTACAGAGGCAAAGATAAATATATTTGATTACACTGACATTTTGAAAATTGAGGTTCGAGTTTGGGGCTCCTGGTTGGAGTATACAGCTCTTGATCTCAGCATTGTGGGTTCAAGGCCCATGTTGGGTATAGAGATTACTTTAAACAAAAATAAAACCTTGAATAAATAAATAAAAATTGAGGTTCAAGGTTAAGATTGAATATATGCACCTAATTTTGCTTCCTTCTCAAACCCTAGGAAAGACTCAGTTAAGGGATTTAAAGGATACATAAGCCCTTAGGAACAGAGAGAATAGAAGAGGAGATGATAGCAAAAAGCATTTGAGAAGCTAGGAAGCAGATAGATCTGTGCTAATGACTATAGACAGCTCAACCTTAAGCTAGAAAGTGGGAGGAAAGCTGAGAACCATCTGCTTTCCTCTTGAAAGGCTCAGGAACTGACAGCATGTGAGCCTCTGGGGCTGAGTGAAGCCGAGAAGAGCAGGTGCTAAAATGTGGACAGGATGAAAGCCATTTCGGAAACCGTTAAATCCCTCGACACTTTTCCCACCCTCCTTGCCCAGGGTGACTGCCTCTCTACCTACCCTCTTACCTACCTCTTACCAAATAGCCTCCTGGGCTATTTTCTGCAGATGGTAAAATAGAGAATCTCTAAGCAGGACACCAGGTACCAATGAGGTCTCAGGTACCGGAGCAAAAACAAAGGAGTCAGTGGCCAAATGCATACCAAATACTAAATCCTGAGAGGACATCCCTCCAAAGCCACCTTCCCCCATTAGACCCCCCCCAAACAGCAGCAGTCATACTTTTACTTTTCAGACAAGAGATTGGACATTTCTACTTTGCACTTGTCCATGTCAAGAGGAAATTTTACCCTAAAGATACACCAGAGATTCCCCACTAAAGACCATGAAAGTACACACAATGAAGCCCAAAGCTGACAAACCCCATTCCCTAGCTTTCAGACTTCTGAGAACAGACAACCAAGGTTTATCAGACATTTAAATAAAGCCTCTAACTCAGAATCTGAAACTATTATTGAAAAGAAAATTCTGTTACAAGGAACATTTTTAAAAAAGATTTAGTTATTAGTTGAGAGAGAGAGAGAGTGCATGAGTGAGGGGAAGTGGGGCAGAGGGAACGAACCTCAAGCAGACTCCTCACTGACCACAGAGCCTGACACGGGGCTCAGTCTCACGACCCCGAGAGCATGACCTGAGCCAAAATCAGGAGTTGGACACTGAAGTAATTGAGCCACCCAGGCACCCCACAAGGAACATTTAAGAAACAGGAGGTCCTGAAATTAAAAAGTGTAATAGCAAAAATGAAAAGTATAGAAAATGAAGTTGATAATTTCTGAAAATTTTCAGGAAGTAAAGGCACACAAAATGGAAGAAAGAAAGTGAGGATACAATTAGGAGACCACTGCAAAGGGCCCAAGACTGGATTAATAATTCCAGGAAGAGATATCAGAACGCAAAGAAGAAGCCATCAGTGAAAGAAATTATTCAAAAAAATCCCAAACTAAGGGACATGACTTTCCAGATTGAAAGTCTGTACTTAGTGCTTCGTACAACAGAAAAAAATAGACCAATCCCAAGATACACTGTGGGACATTTTCAGGGACACTAAGGACAAACTTTTCAAGGGAAGAAAATAAAACATACAAAGGATCAAGAATCAGAATGGTTTCAGATTTCTCAACACCGATGCTAAAAGCTTAAAGACAGTGAAGCAAATGCTTTCAAAATCCCAATAGAAAGAGCTTTCTAACAGTCAATATGGGCAAGAGCGTTCCGGTCACCATAGACTACTATCAGGGGAAAATATAAGCCCGTGAAAATAAGGGAAATTCTTCTAAATTTCCACATGCGTTTGGATATACATAGACTATCTCTGGAAGAATAGCCTACACAAGAAGCAATGACTATCAAAGTGACAAGTGCATTATCCTTACCCAGCAACCCGACTGCTAAGAATTTGTCATTCAGACAAAAGTGAGGAACCATATATGTACAAGGTGACTTAATATAGCATCTTGGCATTTTTGCATCGACTTCCCTGCAAGCAAGAAAACTAGACAGCTAGATGGGATAGGAGGAGACTTTTCACTTTGTACCTCCATACTTTTTGAATTTTGAATCTCATAAATGTATTGTCTATTTAAAAAACCAAATATGAGGAACACCTGGGTGGCTCGGTGGTTCAGTGTCTGCCTTTGGCTCAGGGCGTGATCCTGGGATCCCAGATTGAGTCCCGCATTGGGCTCCTTGCATGGAGCCTGCTTCCCCTCTGCCTAGGTCTCTGTCTGTCTGTCTCTCTCTCTTTCTGTGTCTCTCATGGATAAATAAATAAATAAAATCTTTAAAAAATAATAAAATAAAGCTCTGCATTTAAAAAAAACAAATACACTCACTTAAACTTTTAAAACTTCTGTATAATAATTTTAAAAGGTAATAAATAAGGTTTAAAAAAAGACACTGGAATAAGAGATTTGTAACACAGACAACCAGTAAGGGACTAGTATCCACAAAAACATAAAGAATTTCTATGAATCAACAGAGAAAGGAACTCTACAGAAATATGAATAAGACCATCGAAAAGGCAGTTCACAGAAGAGGAAACTAGAATGATCAATATGATTTTTTAGATGCTCAACATCATTAAAATAGTAATGACATGTTATTTCAGATCTATCAGCTTGGGAAAATTTAATGTCTGATAATATCAAGTATTGGGGATGCAGAAGAACAAATTAGAGCAACCGCTATGAAAAGCAAGTTAGAGTCTGCACACGTACTATAGATAAGATTATTATTATAGATAATTAAAGACATTCAAATGAAAAGTAGGAGAAAATATGGAAGAGACTATAAATTCAAAAACCGTAAGTAAACTAATTCCCAAATAAAAGAGAAGAGAGTCTCAACTTGGATTCAGTGTGCATCTTTGCCCTTGGGAAAATTTCCATTTCCCTTCTACGGAAGGGTAGAGGCTGTTAAGGTAATTTGATCCTATCGAAACACCGTCATGGTCTTCCTCCAAGAGTGGCTTCTGTTCCCATGGAGGTGGTCACTTTGTCACTAACTGGGGAGGTGGGAGTGAGAGAGTTGCTTCGATTTATTCCCCCCTCCCTGTGGTATGAACACATGCATGCCACCCCCAAAAGAATGCTCCAAATACTCTTTGCTCCTGGGTCCCCAGGGAAGAAGCCACACTGCAGGGGAACTAAGAGACCACATGCCTCTGACAGAGCTCATCCCTGGGGGCCACACACCCAGACCTCGGGCAGGTGAAGCACGTAAAATACAGAACCCTCCTCCCTTCCTCATGCTACATCCTTCTCCCCTCTCCCCAAGGCCCTTTTAACATCCAACTCCCCCCCTTCTTTGAGCCTTCCCTCCTTTTCCAGACTATGGCCCTTTCCCCAGCAATTAGCAAGGCCCGTGTCTCCTGTAGTATCTGCAAAATCTTCACAACCCATGACATTGCTTGGAAGTCATA